TTGATGTTTTCCCTCATCAAACTGTTCGTTTCACGGAGTCCCCTGGGCAAATCCTATCAGATGATGTTCAAACACCAGCAGTCCGCCTGTCTGCCGGAGCCTGATGTCATCCAAAAACAATGTTTTGAAGTGTTTCAAGGTTTTTGCGAGAGGCCGCCGTTTAACAGTTCATCGAGATTGTTTATTTTATTTATTTTTTTTGGTATCATATCACTGGGCAATGTTCTGTAGTATCTTACGACTATGTTGAAAAACATGTTTGGTGTTTGGATATGAGTCCTTTATTTTGGATCACAACTGCCCAAGGTGGTTGGCTCAATCATCCATTAGTAAAGGTTTTGGCAGATGAGAAGAAAAGACGTGCAGAGGTGTTTAATATGTGCTGTTCAGAACTGTCAACATGGACCCCTCGCTCAACCAGCACGTTGAACGACTCCGGATGCAAAGCATGAACATGGAGTCATCAGTCATGACTTGCAAGTGGTCCTTCAAAAAACAAGGTCCGTACGGCATTTATGTTTGTTGAAATCTGGAAGATGTAACCTGTTCTGCAAACCCCCGTCTTGCGCAATCTTTACAATTTTTGTGGGACCATAGCAGGCTCTAAACAGTGCAATACAAAGCAAAGCGTTGAAAAAAGGTTGTGGCAAATACGGATTTTCATTAAACATGATTGGCTGGGAAATCCCCGAACTAGCCATGGAGCTTCCAAGGGCAAAATCATCGAAGTCAATGGGATTTTCTGAAAGTGTTTTCTTCATCTCTGACACTCCAACCTAAGCCGGGCCATACCCAATCATTCATCTTTGTGGTGTCATCCTGCCTATGTCTGAATCCATGTGTGGGAGAATATTGAATGCATACCCAGAATGAACACAAAGTACAGATTTAGATCTTACCTGTCAAAATGAACCGAGTCTAATCCTTTTTTTTTCCGTGGACGCGTCCAAGCCTTTCATACCGAAAGTTGGAGATTCTTGCAGGGGCACAAGGGCGGTCGGTCAATAATTGGAGTCTACTGTCACCTTCCCATTCTCTGGTAAGACAATGCCTTTATACCGGATTTTTCCACAAGACAAAGATCATAAGTTCAGTCAGTAAGTCAACTAATGTCAACGTATGTCAACGTATGTCAACTATATGTCAACTATGAACTGTTAAATAAGATAATAAACATCATTTAGCAGCAAAAATATGGCATTATGGGGGATTCAACATGATTCAGCTATAAATGGACCATGGCTTAACCAGTGGCCGCGCTGTAACAGCGCTTCAGGAGGAGGCGAGCCCTGCGGGCCCCCAACGAAAACGCGCCAAGACTTCTGCTTGTTGGTGCGCCTGGGGGAAAAGGAGGAAAAACACTGGGGTAGATTCTGAAGTTTTGGCATGGCCAAGAATATATGTTTCTGTTTCATTATGTTTCTATATCAGGTTGTAGAAATGATTCTATTCTAGTTTCTAGATGTGCCATGGTGAAATTCTGAAAACTTGGATTACAAAGTATTGGGGGATGGTGATGAACCCATGAATATAGATATTAGTAGGAGTATATTCATAACCATGATCGTTGGATTCCCATTGTGGGCTTGAGCTGGTTCAACTGCTGCGATTCTTGCTGCGAAGTGGGGATGATGATCCTGATTGTGGCTGCCGGGAGCTCATTCAAAAGCAGCTGTCAGTGCGACTATGAAAAAATCTGCAGTCCATTTATGGGATGAAGCTGATGAACACATCTTTGTGGTGGGAACTCACAAAGCTGGCAGCCAATTGCTTCGCAATACTCATCCCCATGGCAGCATGGAGCCATCTTGCAGATTCGCGAAGCTCACGCACTGCTGATCTGGGTGTGATGATTGTGGACCCTGTGGAGATGGTGGCCTCAGCATATTGTTATCACCACCTGGGAGCAGAACCCATAAACCCCATTGAGTTCGGTGTTCCTAGGATGGCTCCAGAGGAGGGTGTGCCCAAAATGGCCGGATGCTACATGTTATTCAAGGCATGGTGGGTGCATATCAAGTCAGTGCGCCTGATGTCTTGGTGGTCCGCTATGACGACTTTACTCATTCTCCAGAACGTTTTGATTCGACTGTTGAACAGATTACGCATTTCTTATTTGGAGATGCAATTAGTGACCTGCAAAGGGCAGGGATCAAAAAGGCTGCTCCAGTGGAGGATCTCAATCGAAATGACGATCTGGGAATTTCCGCAGAGAACCATGTCGACCACACCAATGATGAAGACGAGATGGCCGCTGCGAGAGCAGCTCTGTCATTGATCTCCCCGGAGGTCTATGCAGAATATGCAAGGTTTCGAGAAGCGCTCGGCTATGTGTGATGCCAAGTCATCAAAGCAGGTAAAAAAATGAGTCAACACCACGAGTTCACAGAAGGTGAAGGAATCTTTGTCGTCTCATGATGTTTTGTGAAAAAAGGCAAAGGTCCGCCAGTTTGGACGAGAATGATGTCCCAATTATCATTTTATATCATTGTTTGATACATAAGTCGATATAGAACAAGAAGTTGCTGGCATCTAGGTCTCATTTGCTGAACATTCACATTGCAATCACTTCTGCAAGTTGTTAGTAACATTTTGTTCTTGATTCATCAGCTCCCTAATGCTTGCTGGCATATATACGTATATATATATATTATACGTATACAAACATATAATATATTATATTATATTATATTATAATATATTATATTATATTATATTAATTTATATTATATTTTTTTTATTTTATATTGTATTATATTGTATTATATTGTATTTTATTGTATATTATTATATTATATTTTATTATGTTATATTCTTATAAAAAAACTTATCATACCATATTATATTACATATTATTGTATTATATTATATTCTATATCATTGTATTATATAATATAGTATTATATTGTTTTATATTATGTTTAATTTATATTGTATTATATTATATTATATTGTATTATATTATATAATAATATATAGTATAGAATAATACAATATAAATATTATATTATATTTATTTTATATGATATCACATAATATTATATTATATCTTGTTTTATTTTAAATAATATATTATATAACTATATTATATGTTTATTACATCATATTGTAGTATAATATACTATCGCATACTATACTATATTATATGGTATTATATTATATTCTATTTTATTTTTTATTATATGTACATATTTACTATGTGTATATATATATACACATTATATTGTATATATATATATGTATTGTATTGTATATATACATGAATATATATATATTATTGTGTATATATATATATGTATATATATATATACATACATATTATAATGTACACATCTATATATACATATACAAATTATAGTATGTATATATGTATTTTATATTATATATATATATTATATCTACATTTTTGCTGGTCACTGTTTTGTTCCTGTTCCTGATCATCCTGTGCCAGGTATTGGGAGCATGGCTGTTGTCACAAGGGTGGAGCCTTGCAGCAGTTATTAGCCCCCATGAGCCCCCCAAAACATATGGGAGTCTGCAGAATCCCTAGAAAAGCAACCATTGTCAGAACGTTCCAATAGGTTTTTTACACTGGCGGAGCCGAGTGCAGGTTCGGATTGCACAGATGTTGGTCGCTAGGTCGCCGAGCCTCCAAACACAGTCCAAACATGCATTAAAAGGCCCGTCAAAAGTTTTTGACACTGCCCACATGGGTACTGAAAATGCGTTCCCCCAAATTTGATGATTTCTCACCAGTTTCCCGAAGAAAAGCAAGTAAATTTTCTGCGAAGATGGAGCGATGGCCCATGTCTTGACCAGCCAGCGGCACATGGGCGAGTTGGATTCTTATGGTTCCATTGGGATGGGAATCATCAATCCATTTTCAGAAAGTGATGGATGATTTCAATATATTTCAATCCAACTGAATCCAACTCTCCGGGAGGAGTTTTCCATGGGAAAACCCAGGATATGGATGGACTTCCCCTTTGGGATCCATCGCTTCGATGGGGGACCACCGTGACCGGCCCCAAGGCCTCTGTGGCTTTTCTCATGTGGGCCCTCCAGGGTCCCGTGGCGTGGTGGATGTGGCGCAGATCGAAACCAAGGAGATGGGCGAAGCGGCGAAGGGTCGACCAGGAAATAGGATTCGCCTCTTTAAATATCACCATAAAAGAACTATTTGAGGCTAAACATACAAAAAACTATGGTGATTTATGGTGATTTATGGTAAACATACCAAAATCTTGAATATCACTGAATATCACCATAAATCACCACAAAAAACATAGGTAAATTATGGTAAATCAACGATTTTTCTGCGCCAATTTCAATAGCGAACTCTAGCAAATTACCAGAGGGTAAGAGGAGAAATTGGAGAGAAGATGACTGGGGATGGGTCAAACCAATGAAATTACATGACATTACCACATGACTGGGGGAATAAAGATCCAGCTCTACCAACTATTTTTAGAGTACCTATGGTTACATGGGTTTTGAATGGTTTTGACTCATAGCCCTTTGGAAAAATTGGATGAGTGAAACGTTAGATGGACAATTGCAAGCATGCCCTTGATTGTTTGAAGTATTGGTAGAAACCGATGGTTTCCCATAGCTGGAAGCTTGGGACTTGTCATGTCTCAGCAAAACCCAAAGAGGCAGCCGGGTCGACGGTCGAAGATGGGGAATTATCTGTGACCGAATGGTTCAGACTAAACATGACCAAATATGGCTACAATATGGCTACAATATGGCTACATGGCTACATATGTTTCCGAAAAGGACTTTGAATCTGACACCGTTGCTGCTCCACATCATGTTTGTTGATTTTGTTACGAAACCATTTTTGAGGGTTTGATCTGATATTACTCTCTGGTATTATAACATCGCAAGAGAAAATAACCTATTTGTAGTGGTTATACCATGATATAACCTATGTCCATGGCGGCTTCGCTATGCCGCTTAATGCAGATTGAAGCTACACCCAGGAGCAATGTTGGTATTTCCTCCGAGGCGCTGCTTCTGTTTCAGTCCGCCATGGTGTGGTACAAGTTCCAACTTCCCAAAGTTTCAGACCGAACTTGAGGTTATGGTCAAGTTTCAAACATTTACTTCATGCATTTTGATGCATTTTGATGCATTTTAGGGAGATACCCATGGCTCATCATGGCCGCCAAATCGACCGCGGAGCGGCAGGTTGTTGCAGTAAGGGCCTCGCATGTCCTTACGCACACCACGAGCCCTACCAAGAGGCGAACTACCAACAGGCACAGTCGGGGATCACTGAGATGACTGGAGACGGTGGAATGTGGTCATTTTTCACAGTTTGCTATTGAAATGGCTCATTTAGTTCGATGATTTACCAAATCCTATCAAATCCTACCAGATATACATTAACACATTATGATCGACAATGATTTACATATATATATATATATATAATCACCAGCACCAGAGAATATTCTGATTCTTGCATGATCCGTAGTCCCAGTTTTCTGGGAATGGACGTTTTTTACCACAAAAATCAACGCTGAGATCGGATCTTGGGGCCATATCTGTTGGGTGATTGAATGGACAGGGCCCAAGGGCCCGGCGTCCCGGTTTTTTATGTTTAAATCCACCGCGAAAAAAGGACATACTGGGTTAAAGCACAAGCTTGATTGAGGTATGATTATAGTGTATAGGAAAAATAAATTTATATCCTATTATATATAAGTGTATATATATATGTATAGAAAAAAAATAGATCCTATTATATATATATATATATGTATGACATTTCCATTAAATCCCACTATGTTCCCATTAAATGGGCTACATCCCCAATTTTTGCTGCTGAAGATCTCCCCAAAAAGACACCAGTTCTCTCCTGCAGGGTTTGCAGCAGCTTCTGCAGCAGCCGCTGGCCGAAAAGAGGAGCTATCTTTGCACATGTGCTAAGAATGTATAATAATAAATAGAATGTATAATAATATAGAATGTATATAAGAGGAGCTAAGATAGAATGTATAATAATATAGATTCATACAGATTCAACATACGGGATAAAATGATATAACATGTCTATATGACATTATAAGAATGTATAGTATGTGTATCTACTATAATGCATCATCATTTGAATCTATATATGATATAATGTATTACCGGCGATGCCCGGCCTCGGCCAATCCCGGCCAGTAAGCCTGGATGCGGGTTTGGCTGGGCTAATGTTCAACCTCCCAATGCATTTTTGTTTAAAGAAAATCATGTTTTTTTGTTTTTCTGAATCTAATTCCCAGCTTCTTCAAATTCGTTTTCCAGGCCTCATCCCAATATAACGCACACATTATATTTATTTATGTATATATATTTATTTATGTATGTATATATATATTACATACACACATTTAGACATAGGTATACATACGCATAGGATGTACAATCTTGAATCAATCTTAGCAGGGAAGCAATTGGAAAGCCAAACTTTCACCAAACAAAATGAAAAACCAAAAAAATCCCAAAGAGAGTTCCGATTAAAATTGCGGGATTGTTTAGTTGTGGGTTGCCAAAGTGTCATCGGGATATCACATGACATAGCAATCAATCGAGATGTAACTGCCACCAACCATTGGTTAAATGAGGTTGACATGGGATTATAGTCATTGATTGGGTTAAAGCCATCCAGTCAATTGTCATGGTTTGTGAAATTGGGATGACCAGTGACTGGGTTCCATTTCACATGGCCAGCGTCCATGCTGGTTGGTGTAGGGATCCTCATTTTCCGATAGCATGTACAATGATAGTAATGAACGTGTACTATAGTAGTTAGTAGCAAAATCAATAAATCTGTATCCTGATATTAATGAACTTGATAATCGTAGTAATGAACATTACTAATGGTAATGATAGTGATGATATGAAAATCATGATGATAACTATAGAATGGGCTAGCGCCCAGGTGCCGCCGACCCCCCCTCTATTTGGGGGACACTGTGGGGAGAGAGAGAGAGAGAGAGAGAGAGGGAGAGGGAGAGGGAGAGATGGATGGATGGATGGATGGATGGATGGATGGATGGATGGATGGATGGATAGATAGATAGATAGATATATAGATAGAGGGAGAGAGATAGATCGATGGATAGATAGAGGGATAGAGAGAGAGAGAGATAGATTGATAGATAGGTAGATAGACAGTTAGATAAACAGGTGGATAGATCGATTGTTGGACAGATGGATAGATAGATTCATGGGGATTCAATAAGCCTTTGGATGGCCCTGCTGGGGACGGTGGAGGGTTTGGAAGGTTTTCGCAGTTTCGAGCGTTTGCAGGCGGGCAAACGGCAGCTTTGAAAGCCCATAGAAAGCCATTGCTGTGGCCTTGGCCCTGGGGTGCCGTGCCTGTTGGGGAAGGTGTTTGGAGGGTTTGGAGGGTTTTGGAGGGTTTGGAGGGTTTTGGTTTGGAAGGTTTTGGAGGGTTTGGAAGGTTTGGAAGGTTTTGGAGGGTGTTTGGAGGGTTTGGAAGGCTTTGGAGGGTTTGGGGGTTTGGAAGGTTTGGAGGGTGTTTGGAGGGTTTGGAGGGTTTTGGCGCGTTTGGAGGGTTTTGGAGCGTTTGGAGTGTTTGCGGGCTGGCAAACGGCAGCTTTGAAAGCCAATAGAAAGCCATTGCTGTGGCCTTGGCCCTGGGGTGCCTGGTTGAGAAGTGGCCTTGGCCCTGGGGTGCCTGTTGAAGAAGGTGTTTGGAGGGTTTTGGAGGGTTTGGAAGGTTTTGGCTTGGAAGGTTTTGGAGGGTTTGGAAGGTTTGGAGGGTTTTGGAGGGTGTTTGGAGGGTTTGGAAGGTTTTGGAGGGTTTGGTGGGTTTGGAGGGTTTTGGAGGGTGTTTGGAAGGTTTGGAGGATTTTGGAAGGTTTTGGAGGGTTTTGAAGCGTTTGGACTGTTTGCGGGCTGGCAAACGGCACCTTTGAAAGCCAATAGAAAGCCATTGCTGTGGCCTTGGCCCTGGGGTGCCTGATTGAGAAGTGGCCTTGGCCCTGGGGTGCCTGTTGGGGTTGAAAGCCAATAGAAAGCCATTGCTGTGGCCTTGGCCCTGGGGTGCCTGATTGAGAAGTGGCCTTGGCCCTGGGGTGCCTGTTGGGGAAGGTGTTTGGAGGGTTTGGATGGTTTTGGAGGGTTTGGAGGGTTTTGAAGGGGGTTGAGGGTTTGGAAGGTTTTGGAGGGTTTGGAGGGTTTGGAGGGTTTTGGAGGGTGTTTGGAGGGTTTGGAAGATTTTGGAGCGTTTGGAGGGTTTTGGAGGGTTTGGAGTGTTTGCGGGCTGGCAAACGGCAGCTTTGAAAGCCCATAGAAAGCCATTGCTGTGGCCTTGGCCCTGGGGTGCCTGTTCGGGAAGTGGCCTTGGCCCTGGGGTGCCTGCTGGGGACGGTGTTTGGAGGGTTTGGAAGGTTTTGGAGGGTTTGGAGGGTTTTGGAAAGTTTTGACAGTTTGGAGCGTTTGCAGGCGGGCAAACGGCACCTTTGAAAGCCCATAGAAAGCCATTGCTGTGGCCTTGGCCCTGGGGTGCCTGTTGGGGAAGTGGCCTTGGCCCTGGGGTGCCTGCTGGACAAGGTGTTTGGAGGGTTTGGACGGTTTTGGAGAGCGCCCGGGGGGTTTGGAGGGTTTTGGAGTGGCCCTGGGGTGCCTGCTGGACAAGGTGTTAGGAGGGTTTGGACGGTTTTGGAGAGCGCCCGGAGGGTTTGGAGGGTTTTGGAGGGTTTGGAGGGTTTGGAGGGTTTTGGGGGGTGGTAGGGTTTTGGAGCGTTTGGAGTGTTTGCGTGCTGGCAAACGGCAGCTTTGAAAGCCAATAGAAAGCTATTGCTGTGGCCTTGGCCCTGGGGTGCCTGATTGAGACGTGGCCTTGGCCCTGGGGTGCCTGTTGGGGAAGGTGTTTGGAGGGTTTGGAGGGTTTTGGAGGGTTTGGAGGGTTTTGAAGGGGGTTTTGGAGGGTTTGGAGGGTTTGGGGGGTTTTGGAGGGTGTTTGGAGGGTTTGGAGGATTTTGGAGCGTTTGGAGGGTTTTGGAGGGTTTGGAGTGTTTGCGGGCTGGCAAACGGCAGCTTTGAAAGAAGATAGAAAGCCATTGCTGTGGCCTTGGCCCTGGGGTGCCTGTTCGGGAAGTGGCCTTGGCCCTGGGGTGCCTGCTGGGGACGGTGTTTGGAGGGTTTGGAAGGTTTTGGAGAGCGCCCGGAGGGTTTGGAGGGTTTTGGAGGGTTTGGAGGGTTTGGAGGGTTTTGGAGGGTGTTTGGAGTGTTTGGAGGGTTTTGGAGCGTTTGGAGGGTTTTGGAGCGTTTGGAGTGTTGCAGGCTGGCATGTTGGGGAAGGTGTTTGGAGGGTTTGGAGGGTTTTGGAGGGTTTGGAGGGTTTTGAAGGGGGTTGAGGGTTTGGAAGGTTTTGGAGGGTTTGGAGGGTTTGGGGGGTTTTGGAGGGTGTTTGGAGGGTTTGGAGGATTTTGGAGCGTTTGGAGGGTTTTGGAGGGTTTGGAGTGTTTGCGGGCTGGCAAACGGCAGCTTTGAAAGCCCATAGAAAGCCATTGCTGTGGCCTTGGCCCTGGGGTGCCTGTTCGGGAAGTGGCCTTGGCCCTGGGGTGCCTGCTGGGGACGGTGTTTGGAGGGTTTGGAAGGTTTTGGAGGGTTTGGAAAGTTTTGGCAGCTCGGAGCGTTTGCAGGCGGGCAAACGGCAGCTTTGAAAGCCCATAGAAAGCCATTGCTGTGGCCTTGGCCCTGGGGTGCCTGTTCGGGAAGTGGCCTTGGCCCTGGGGTGCCTGCTGGACAAGGTGTTTGGAGGGTTTGGACGGTTTTGGAGAGCGCCCGGAGGGTTTGGAGGGTTTTGGAGGGTTTGGAGGGTTTTGGAGGGTGGTCCGACAGGACAAGTTCCACACCTGCGGTGGTCCCAGGCGCCGCCCCGGCCTTGGCGAAGGCCGGGGTCGGCGGATAACGAATATCTATACATACATGAGCATTGGCTCTTACTCGCAAACATCTACAGTAGGAAATTAGTCTTCTCGTGGGAATTCTCTCCGTTTTGACCCCTGATTTAGGTTCAAAACGATGTCAGTGATCGAACACGTACCCTCAAATAATTTGAGTTGATTTAATATATATATATACACTGTATATATTATACATAATACTTGAATATTCGTAGATATATTATATATCTATCAAAAAATCATAATTTGAGAAACCGGAACCTTTTGTTTGAAAAATTGATGTCTTTGGCGCCTTGCGAAAAAAGGCCCCTGGATTGCGACCCCAACTCGCTGGTCTTGGGGGTGGAGGAGATGAAGGCCATGGTGATTCACTTGAGAAGACTGGTTGTTGTTGGAATTCATGCGGATCTCTGTCTCTCGCTCTCTATATACATATATATATAATTTAATTATATAATTATATATATACATACATATACACAAATAGATACATCACTACAGGCATTATTGGAGAGTACCCCCACCAAAGCCAATGTCCAACCTCGCCAACGTTTTGCGCTGGGATGTCCCCCAACTTTGGACCATTGGGTGTTGAAGAAGTGAGACCATTGGGAGGTTGCTATCGCGAGGTACAACCATGACTGACATTGAGCAATGCATCCCTTCCCTTAATATTATATTCAATATCCCTTTATGGGCCCCTAAAATGAACAGATCCAATACCAAACCAAGTTTGGGATGGAGGTCTTTAATAGGGGGAAGGGATTAGTCAAGGTGGAGATTTAGGAATTTAGTGGCTGCTGCACCTCTAATATTTTTAATTTTGAATCCGGATGTTTTTGCCGGTTGAAAGCAAAGCCGTACTCTATTGATTATATTGTTTTTTTCCCAGTTTCAATGCATAAAACAGGTCCCAGCGCGCTTTGCCAGAGCACTCATCGGACCGGGCCCTAGATGTCATATTCTTCGGGTGGGTTGTGTGAAATCTATTGAAATCTCATGTTTACTTGTAGAGGCAAAATGAAACAAATATGGCAAAATGGGACGCTTTCACATCCTGTCACGGGGCGGCTGAAAGTCAAAGACCATGACTTTAATTCAGAAGATACCCTCTGGTAAACTAACATAACTATGGAAAATCACCATTTTTAATGGGAAATTCAACTATAAATGGCCATGTTCAATAGCTATGTTAAATTACCAGAGGGTATTGCATTGTGGTACACCCAAAATCCATATACCATCCCTGATTTTACCAAGAACTGTTTTTTTCAACCATGCCCAATAGTTAGAGGTTTACAGCATTGGGTCAACGCCACATGATCCCTGACCTGTGGCACTAAACCACCCTAATCTGCATTCATGGTTTATACCACCCATTGATGGAGAATTGGGGATGGTTTACTAGTGCTTTATCAATGTTAGAAAGAAATAATCAGACATGATATCTACCCATGGGCATCCCATCCATCTGCAGTGAGGATATGGTGGTGAAAACATTAAGCTTTTGCAGCAGGCTGGGGACATATTGTGTGCCGTTCTTTCTGAGGTATCAGACATGATTCCAATTCAGCCGAGCGTCTAGAGTCTATAGAGTCTAGAGCATAGTATCAGGAAAAAGCCGCAGGAAATCTTGATATCTTGATTATGAAGTTATGATATGATATCTATGATATCTATGATGTCTATGATGTCTATGATGTCTATGATGTCTATGATGTCTATGATGTCTATGATGTCTATGATGTCTAGTGATGTCTATGATGTCTATGATGTCTATGATGTCTAGTGATGTCTAGTGATGTCTATGTACCAAATGGCTGCTGGAATTACAGTACTCCAGAAGATCATCCTTTGTGCCTTTTTTTGGCTTGCCTGGCAGGTCACAGGCTGTCGGGCCTATCTAGAAGCAGCCAAAGATGCTGAGGGAGAAGATGGCTTCCGCCCTCTGACCTTCCATAGTTGGATGGTTTATGATGAAACATGAATTGAAATGGATGATTTGGAGGTCCCATCATTCTATCGGTCGTTACACTCCCAAACAGTGCCTTTTTTTGAGATTTATAGTTTATCATCCTCATGATTTTGATTTGAGCTTTTTGTGCGACAATCATATTCAAATAGCCTGAAGGAAGGATGCGACATGGAATATTGTGACGGGCCAACCAGGTCTACTGAAGATTTTTTAACACCTAATAAGGATGAAGTATGCCATGTTCCGAGCGCCACATGTAACGTAACTGGGAACGTGATTTCACCTGGCTGAGCTGATTAGCTGGTTGGGGGTTTCAAGACTTCATGGGTTTTTCCATGTTTTTAGTAATTTTTAAGGATGTTTTAGGCATATTTGCGATGATTGGCTGGGAGGACTATGATTTTTGAGATGTCTTAAAACCATCAACCAAGGGCACAAGAAAACTCAAGGGCACAAGAAAACTCAGTCTGACGCAGTGAAGCATTAGGTTTTTTGCCGACACCTGTTTTGATATATTTTGATATCTAACTCATCAGTCTCAAGATGAAGGAGGTCTCAACAAAACCCCCGACTCCACCAAATTCGGGATTCATGAAAATTGCAGGCTCTTGGGATAAAATTTCATCACCATGTTTGGTAGTAGATTTAGTTCTAAAATCCTCCCATTTGGAACCCGAGCCAGACCCAAAAAGACAAATCTGACCTGTAAATCCAAGATCTTGCCGAAAATTGCTGAAATTCCACGGTTTTCCATCATCCAGGAATTCTGAAGATCCAGGGAATTCCGCTGCAGCGCGCACATTGCAAAGAACTGGTGCAAAGTCACTACGCCTCTGCGCAGCAGGTGCGTTCACATGCGTTCACACCGGAGGTGCATTTTTTTCCGAAATGAAACTGATGGTTGAAGAGTGGCAGGCTCGACTCAAACAATGATGTTTCAAGAATATGTGATGGGACATGGGGACGGGTCAATTTTTGGGTACTAATATTGATGCACAAAGTTGTATGTTTTGTTCGCATGAACATGACATGTGTGAAACGCAGGGGCGTTTCGACGTTATTTTTATCGGTCAACCAGTGTATCCAGGTGATCGGCACGCTCAACATCCATGGCACACCAGTACCTTGTTAACTTGTGTAAACAATGTTCGGCACATTTTTCATCTTTTTGCCTGAGGGCCAGTGGATCACCTGCTGAATAGCTTGTGCTTCAGCTTTTTCATGCGTGTTTTCATAAGCCACGAACGCCATGGATTCCTACTCTCCAGCCAGAAAAGATGAGACTTTATGGCCACCATCAAGATCTCCCTTTACGAATACAGGCTGAAATTGGCACCAGGTCTGTTGGTTGTGATGGTTGTGATGGTTGTGAGCCCGGTTGCTTGTGAAATCATCCTACTGCTTGGTGGTCTTGGCAGGCGAAGATGTTGAAGAGACTCGGTGGCAGCCGCGCCGCTTCTTGCAGGTCATATCCGCATTTCCCAATGATCATAATTGATCTCCCCTTTGACATCATGATAGAACATTGCTGTTCCAATTTCCACTACGATGGGTCCACTATAAACTTGTTTTCATGCTATATTTTGTAAGGAACTGGTGTTGGAGCTGTAACAGGAGGCTTGGAGGTCAGGTCTAAAAATGTGGTCCTTGGGAACCCCCCCGGGCCCATGGTCATCCATCTCCATTCCATTCGCAATGATTCTGCAGATTCCCAAAAAAAAGCATCAGCCACAAGCCATTGATCATGATGGATGACCATAATGGATGACCATAACCTATTAATCCATTTGAATCCATATGAGTCACGGTCAAAATGGTTGAAGACCACTGTAGAAAATTGCAGGAGTTTTTTCTCAGAGATGTGCACAAAACACTGTAAAGCCATTTTGGCCCACCCAAAAGGCGATAACCTGGGACCATACACGACAGTCCATTGAACTTGGCGTAAACCAAGCAAATACTATTGTGCACATTCACAGAACGGGCAAAACCGATGAGGGAAATTCAACCTGTGGAGCCCTGTTTCCTGCAGCTACCAGGTACCATATCATTTGGCATCCAACTCGTTGTCTTTTTTTTCTCTCTCTCTCTCTCTTTTTCTGTTACCATCTGGTTATTTAACATAGCCATGGAAAATCACCATGTTTAATAGGTAAACCCAGGTAAACCATCTATTTCTATGGGCCATCTAATCTATACCATGGCTATGTTAAATAACCAGAGGGTACCCATTTTACCCAGTATACCCAGTATATCCAGTATATCCATATGAATCCATAATAATCCATAATTATTAATGCATATGAATCCCATATGAATACCATATGAATCCCATGTAACTTGACCATGGCACTTGACCATGGCACAAGGTACGACAACCACAGCGCCACGGATCCGCTCTATACCGCCGTGAAGGTCGCCTTGAGCGCCCATGGTGCAGAGGACTTGGAAGACGACTTGGAGTTAGCCAAGTGCCTGGGACGGAAACGCCGGCCAAGGGATGGGATATATTTGTATGTGTGTATGATATTGAAGTATTATAGTTAGATATATTTATTATCATTAATATATCTATACAACATATATATATATATAACTAACATTATATATAATATAGTCATACTATATATATATATATATCTTATGATATCACTCTATTCATGTTTATAGTGTATACACAATATATTGGACAATGCCATCAGTTGGCCACCGAAGTTTATCAGACCTGTTCATAGCTATCTCGGATGAGACTCAGCCAGTGACGGCCATGGAATGAGCTACTTGATGGCTTACTGAGCCATTAACTACAAAAATGGAGGTGTAGTGGTGGGGTATCAACCTCCTGGAAAAACGTGCTCATGGCCCGTCGCAGAAGCATGGACGGTTTCGAAGTTTTCGATCCGTGTTGACGGTTTTGTTTGTTAGTGCATGCCTTACTGTATACTTATTCTTCGCGACAGGGGAAGCAAATGGTGAGATTGGCACTTCGGAAGCCTTGTGTGAAACTGTTTAAAGACTATACCCTGCGGTAATCTAACATGGCCATGGTAAATGATTTCAATTGGCCACATTCAACATATATATATATATACATAGGTAAATGTAAATATAGGTAAATCATCTATAGAAATGGTAATTTGCCATGACAATGTCGTTAAATTAGCAGAGGGTCACTATGTCCAACTTCAAAGGAAACCCTGGAATGACAGCACCATCGGAATCCATAGCTAGGCCGGGCATCTGTGAGTAAGTAATGATACCACCAATGGTGATGCGCGGAACCATGCGGAACCATCATATTACGATTATGGCAAGTAGGAAAGCAGCAACAAAGTGAGATAGCAGCACAACAACCTGGCTGATCAGATCAACAGCAAGGGTGATGAGGATGTATCTGCTCAAGGGTTCCCATGGACTGGATGACCCGGCCCCAAAAATATGCCATGTCTCGACCCCAGAGGATTCGCTCGAAGATAACGCAATTTGCACGTCCTTTGGCGAATGGTCGACTGGGTTGGACAATTTGGGGCCAGTGATGTGAAGGTTTGATAACGTTTGTTTATAAAGCCCATTAACTATAGTTACAAGATGTTACAAGCATCATTGTCATAAACCATATATATATTGGAGTTATTGGCACCAACTTGGCTATCGTTTGGGGGCCCCACATTGTAGGGGATGTCGTATTGCATCTAGCTGAACTGAAAACCACCGCTGGGGGAGCTGCTGTCGGTGCTAAACATCCCTTGAATGTTGGATTACCCTTCCCAAAGAGAGTCTATACATGTCTATACCTTGTAGACTCAAAATCCACATTAGCCACAGAAGAATTTCAGAATCCTTGAAGATTTAGGTTGAATTGTCCACAAGGTTCATCTTACCGATGCCATCAGATCATTGGAATGGCGATTTTTTCGGAATACCTGATGCATGGGATTCAAATCCCCAGTCACAGATTCTTTGGACCACATTTGATTTTGACAGTATTTAAAAATCTACGGAGGGCTATTTTTTTTTTTAAAGCCTGGCTTTGTGGCTTTTGTGGCTTCTGTGGCTTTTGTGGCTTCTGTGGCTTTACCATGCTTTACCATGCTTTACCATGCTTTACCATGCTTTACCATGCTTTACCATGCTTTACCATGCTTTACCATGCTTTACCATGCTTTACCATGCTTTACCATGCTTTACCATGCTTTACCATTCTATCTATCTATCTATCTATCTATCTATCTAAACTATCTAAACTATCTAATCTATCTAATCTATCTAATCTATCTAATCTATCTAACCTAAAATCTGACCTAATCTGACCTAATCTGACCTAGTCTACAGTAATCTATCTAATCTATCCAATCTATCTAATCTAATCTATCTAATCTATCTAATCTAATCTGACCTAATCCGACCTAGTCCACAGTAATCTATCTAATCTATCCAATCTATCCAATCTATCCAATCTATCGAATCTATCCAATCTATCCAATCTATCTAATCTATCTGATCTATCTAATCTACCTAATCTATCTAATCTATCTAATCTATCTAATCTATTTAATCTATCTAATCTATCTAATCTATCTAATCTATCTAATCTATCTAATCTATCTAATCTATCTAATCTACAGTAATCTATCTAATCTATCTAATCTATCTAATCTATCTAATCTATCTAATCTACAGTAATCTATCTAATCTATCTAATCTATCTAATCTATCTCATCTAATATAACCTAATCTACAGTAATCTACAGTAATCTACAGTAATCTACAGTAATCTACAGTAATCTACAGTAATCTACAGTAATCTACAGTAATCTATCTAATCGATCTAATTTATCTAATCTATTTAATCTATCTAATCTATCTAATCTATCATATCTATCTAATCTATCATATCTAATCTATCTATCTATCTATCTATCTTTCTAGCTAGCTATCTATCTATCTATCTATCCATCTTTGTATACACACCTTGTATCCGTACATGTACCTTAATCTAACCCTCAACAGATTTTAAATAGACCCTAAACCAACCCTAAACAACCCTAAATAGCCCTAAATAGCACTAAATAAAACCCTAAACCAACCAACACTATGATAACATCCGATGCCCCTATTTAGACCCAACACGGTTGTGCTTCAACCTATATTCTACATGGTCACCAGGTGCATGTTATGCATGGAAAAATCGATTGAAACCATGGAAAAAATCAATTGAACCCATGGCAAACTCAATGAACACTATGGAAACATCGATGAACACTTTGGTAAGTCAATGAACACAATGGAACAATCTATGAACAGTGCAAATGGCAAATTTCAGCTCCAAAATTCAGCATTCAGTACAGGTTTTTGCTCCAACATGTAGCAAATAGCAAGGAAAAGTGCCCCAGACTGAAAAACAAAAACAAATCCCCAAAAAAATCTGCACCCAAAATCTACGCTGCCCCAGCAGTTCCAGATCTTTCGAGATTCCTCCAAGATCATTCAAGTCAGGATTCCCCCGCTGTACGAAAAACACCATGCAATGGCGCCTGAAAAATCATGTATCTTAGGATGGTTAGGTTTCACTGCCAAACTATCTACCTGGACTTTGGTGCACATATATATATGTAGTATATACAGTATATATATATTTATACACCATATATTCTTACATGAAATTGCTACTTTATGGAGTATGGTGGATTCCTGGCCATGATGGTTTCTTCACCCGTGATGGGCCTACCCCCATCCCCAGCCTCAAAAATCCTTTCCGCCACGAGGAAAGTGCGGAGAGGGCGTGGACGTGACGTGTACCAAAGAACCCTCCTTTGAGATGGTCGTGAGTCGCTGGATTTCGATTGGAACTGAGCGGAAAAGCCACGGAAGAAATCGAGAATTGATTCTCTCATGATGTCTCATCTGGTTGGTGGTTTGGAACAAGACTTTTTTTTTGCCCATCATATTGGGAATGTCATCATCCCAACTGACGAACTCAATCATTTTTCAGAGGGGTGGCGAAAAACCACCAACCAGTGGCCCAGGGAAGCTAGCGCGGAACTTCTTCAGCCCATTGTGTCAGGTTCCGGGGTGATATGGAGAAATGACAAAGGGATGGGGAAGATGACTTGATGGTGCTGATGATGGTGTTGATGACAATGATGATAGATTAATGAATGATTATGATTGGATATGTAAATTATACTACATTATAATCATCATTAATCTATCATAATCATAATCATTAATACAGTCATATATTAGTAATTAGTATTACCATATCCTAATACTAGTCATTATACTACATTATATATAGTAATTAGTATAGTACGTGCGATAGGTGGTGATTTGAATCGCCTTACAGGTTCACCTTAAATTTGGGGACAAGGACTTCAAGCTGAGAAGTATATGAATGTCTTGGCCATCAGACAGGAAACCAGCTGGAAAACAGGCATAGTATAACCATAGTGATGAGATATTCATGTCTAACCATAGTATAACCATAGTAGTATAACCATAGTAGTATAACCATAGTAGTATAACCATAGTAGTATAACCATAGTAGTATAACCATAGTAGTATAACCATAGTATAACCATAGTAGTATAACCATAGTATAACCATAGTATAACCATAGTATAACCATAGTTCTATCTTGTCTTATGGTTATTTTATGCAAGCCTGGGATGAACCCCAGGTTTTGGCGCAGCATGACATGAACAAAGTGACATCCGTGATGTTTTTTCGTGCCAGACGTATTACGAGAAGAACTGGTTCAACCGCACAGACTTTCAATTGGTCCTGGAGGTGTGGTGCTTAGTGGTGCTTGGATCATGCCTGAAGTGACCTTGAAATCCTTGAATCAGGTACAGCATTGGAAACGAAGATTTGCGTACTGATAACCTGTCAAGCTCAGTCTCCACAACAAAGGTATTCGTCCTTTTTTTGTTGATTAAACAGTTAAATCCTTGTTTTTGCTGGCTACAACCATGATCCATTCTAAGAGATATCACCATTCCTCTCAACAGATTCTTTGTCTATGAGATTGTACTCTCAAAGTCTGAAAACAGAACCTTTTAAAAACGGAAAACTAAATGGCTCCAAACCGCAGATTTTATACGATTTTATGACTTATTATTCAGCATAGCATGTTGCCAGATCGTCCTACATGTTTCATCAAGTGTTTGCCTCTTGTCAAGCTCAACTGGTCGTGTCACTCTTTTTCTTGTTCTTTTCCCTGTCCAAACAAAAGGAAGTTGATTCCCAATTGACTGGTCTAGCAGGTGACAAGGTATATGAACCCCACCAGCAATTGTGATCTATCAAGTGACTTTTATGCATACACACATCGATACACAAGGATACACATATAATTATGTATGTACATATAGTATATACTATCTGCACACGTGTATGTATGTATATATATATACATATATATATAACTTATGTATATATATATCATATATATATAACATATATATATAATATATATATATAACATATATATATATAACATATATAATATATATAGAGGACATATATGATAGGACATGTGTGTTTGTTTTCCACCACTTGATTTCACACCAGGCGGCCGTCCGAGAGTTGGTGGACCCCGAGTTGGTGGCTGCCCACGAGGGCCTTCTGGAGAGGTGACTTGGAGCTTGGAGGTGAAAGGATATATTGGATTATTAATGTTTAATGATGGTTTATAGTTGTTAATAAGTGTGAATACTTTTCTTTTATAGCCGTTTGTTTTTTGAATAGTTTGTATATGATAGTTAAACATGATGATAACTGCGATATAATTTTGTATATACCGAAGAATCAACCAACAAAGCTGGTGAATTTTCCAGCAAACCATGTTTGATCACCCTGGTTCAGATAAGGTATGATCAATGGAAAATCCAGGATCCTAAAATGGAGGTACTGTACCATATAAGGCCATATTTTGTGGGTATATTCCTTATATTATGGTAGGTACCTCCAATTTAGGTTCCTGAAATGGACAATGATATGAGAAAATACAAAATTTTCATGGTTCAGAAAGTCATGTTATCCTTTTAAACGAAATGCCATAACTATGCCATAACTATCTAGTGGAGCTGGGGATATCCATCTTCACCAACCTGCATGAAACCGCTCGAAAAAAAGAAACAGGATACCCAAGATTTTTAAAGAAAAGACATACACATGTATATATATATATGGCTATGGATCAATACCTATCAATACCATTTTTAGGGGGATGAACATCCATTTACCAGCTATTTTGATGTTCACCAGGGGTACAGGGTTTTGACACACTGCCATATATATATATATATGTATATGAAACACTGTGTGGTATAATCTTATGTTGTATGATTCACGAAGATGGTGATAGACACCAATGATGTATCAGTTATGAAGAATCAGGGGTAGAACCCAGTGCCCCCCCCCAAACAGGACAACCAAATGAAGAGATTCTAGGGGTGTGCTGATGAATAATTATGGTAAAAGGAATTGTTATTTTACACAAATGGAAATTTGCTATAACGTAGCGATACCTAAGCGATACCTACGCGATACCCATGTGTTCAAAAAGTATCCGCAGCCCACAGATAGACCCTTTCCTTCTTTCCTTTCCTTTCCTTTTTCTCTTCATTTCCTCTTCCTTTCCTCTTCCTGTCCTTTCCGTTTCTTTTCATTCCGTCTTCGTCTCAGTCTCTTCTTCCTTTTCCTCAAAACTATGTAGCGATAGGCTTAGGAAAATCTTGAGCCTGCAAACATTGGAAATTCCTAAATAATTATTTTGTCATGTTTTTTTGCATTGTTGTTGCATTTTTTTTGCATTTGGGTTTGTCATTTTGGATTTGTGTTGTCATTTTTTTGTAATGTTTTTGTCATTTCTTTGTCATTTCTTTGCATTTTTTTGTCATTTGTTTGTCATTTTTTTTGTCATTTGTTTGTCATTTTGGGAACGGGAAAATGGAGAAAAAAAATGTTACCCTTTTCTTGGAAGCTTCGCAAAGACATTGAATTTTGACAACGGCTCATACACACACGCACACATATGTATATATATATATTATACATATACAATCATATATATATATACACACTGTAATTATCATCATGATGCAGAATAACTCCCCACTTTCTTCTTTTAAATGATATCGTATTGGGCAAGGTCCGAGTTTATAGTCTATCCACTCCAGGATGGGTGTATGTATACATATATATATATACATATATATGCATATTATATGTATACACATGTGCATATATATATAATACTATATTATATTATATTATATTCTATTATATTATATGATTTTCTATTACATTCTATTCTATTATATTGTATATATTATATTATATTATATTATATTATATTATATTATATTATATTATATATATATATATATCAATATCATGTTGACAGTTATTTCACTGAAATGCAATGCGGAAACTAAGCCGTAACTTAGACAAAAGGAAATGGAACATGATTTTCCGAACAGGAATTTGACGTTCATGGTTGGCCGTTTCAAAGGCATATGAGGTGGTCTGGCAGTCAGCAGTGGTGCTGATTGGCCCCCAAAATTGGAACCTCATCCCACAGATGAAGACCTCATTTTCCTTCAAATTTCCAGTTAGTATGGGACGTCACCCATTAACAAACCGATCAAACCTGCTTCTTGGTGGTGCAGCCCAAGAATCATGTAGCTTAGATGTTTCACCAGATTTGATTAACAGGGTTGAACCAACCTACGATTCCTGGGGTGAAGCACACTGGAAAACCACCAAGGCTCATCTGTGAAAGCCACGACTTGGCGAAGGAGGAGTCTCTCGGTGGCAGCTTTCTGCTCTGGCACATTGGTACACAGGCACAAACTCTTACATGATCTTTGAACCCCGGATTTTTCTTTGGTTTCATCAGCTAAGATGCTGTTCATGACAATGTACTAGAATAGATTGAATAGATCAACATTACAAGTTTTGTTGTGGCTCTTTTTAATCTTTTTTTACAATCTTAGATTTTGAACTTTGCTGTGAAACTTCTGCCACAAGGAAGAGTTTCTTGCCGCAGATCTGGGAACTCGCCAGGTATCAGGGCCTGCACCTTATCGATGTTTCTGATGGGTGCCAGGGTCAAGTTACATGGTATTTGGGTATGGTCATGAATCCTTATGGGTACCCTCTGGTAAACTAACATAGCTATTGAAAATGGCCATAGAAATAGTGGATTTTCCTATTAAATATGGTGATTTTCCATAGCTATGTTAGTTTACCAGAGGGTATATGATTCCCGAAAATTTTGGAATTGGATGATGGGTACATTGAAATCGGAAACTATCCCAATCTTTATTCTTCTTATCGTGGTTTGTGGGTGAGATTTTCCCTTAAACCAATCCATTGTGGAAATGATCAAATGATGCGTCGCCATCCTGAATATGCAGAACTTCAGGGATATTTACTGAGATTTGTCGTGATTTGCCTCCTCAAATAACATATGTGTGTAAGCAAAAAACACTACAGAATCTGGGCATATCAAATGAGAGAAATGTTAAACTGGAACCATGTTCCATGTAGAATGTCCTGCATGTCGGAGGAAATGCATTTTTCAGATTCTTTCAGAACTGGAAAGGGAAATCCTGAGATGGTCTTGTCAAGGTACGTTGCTGTGCATCACTGCGTATGTGACCGTATGTGCATGATAGTCCCTACTGGTAATTAGAGGATTATCATATGAAATCAACTGATTATGATAGGATTCCATCCTATTCCATCGATGTATTTGTATGTGCTTGGGGACCACTTTGCATTGTTTCTTTGATCGAATAATGTTTCCATTACCCCCTGGACAAGTCCACGATTGTTGGACACTTCCTGAATCTGCTGAGTCTGTGCGATTTTTGTATTTCCAATCCACAACTCTAAGGGATACATTTTCTCCATGCAAATCCAGTATATGATTCACTATATGAATCTATATGATCCTGAAAAAATGTCCCCAAGATAAGTCAAGATAAAACATAGACTTCACGAAAACTAATCATAACTCATCCCACCACTGTCAGTGTCATCTTGGCTGAAAACTGTGGAAACTGAAGCCATCACTGCTCCGTGCACGTGCCGTGGCACGGTGACAGGCCGCTCTTCGATGGGCAAAAGACTCGAAAGACGGCCACCTACGCCCTGGAGACGGGGCGATACAACGCCCTCATCGGTCACGATGAAGGCAGGGGCGGAGAGGTCGCGTTGACCTCACGCCGTTGGTCCTTGGTGATTCATCACCACTGTATGCCTAGAAAAATATCTGGGATTAGCATGGATTAGCCCATTAGTAAATGCGTTTTTTTAATGTTTTTTTCACCAACCAATCACCAGTCACCATTAGTGCTTAAACTTGGGGATGGTTTATGAGTTTACCACATGTGAACATGTGGTACACTGGTATAAATTCACCAAGCACGCGCAGTTCCACAATCCATGATTCTTATGTATAAACCATCCCCAATATTGGAGGTTGATTATATTGGGTCTACCACAGTGGATTGGGGGGAATCATCCCAAAAACATGAATAAAACGGCACAGTTTTCAAGTTCGTGAAATATGAATACAGTAACGTATAATGACGTTGATAATTTTGGTAAACAAAAAAACAATGGGTTACTTTGAACATGTCTTGCCACTAAAGGTGGGACAGGTAGAACCAATTGACATTGGATTCCCAATTGGATCACCAGGCGAGTTGACTAAAAGATCCAACGTGCAGGGCCTGTATTGAACTCAACAGCCCAACTCCCCCAAGGCAGAGTTGTAACCTGCTAAGCCATGGAGGTTGATCCCTGAAGGCAGCCCAGTTCCCACCCTAGCTGTGTAGTAACTGGCAGCGCAAACAAGCTGTCTGACATAAGGGGGTTGAGGCAACCATTTCCGGTGGCTTTTCAGGCAGGATATGAGTATTTCATGGGTCGAAGCATGTTAAAACCAAACACTCCAAGTATAAAGTGGTTTTGACATGGTAGATTCGATTCTCTTTATGCATGTTTTTTTTTCATGGGTACCATATGGTCAGGTAAATCTCTCCGACTCCAAATGGTTGATTCTCTTTACTTTAGTCATTTTTAGGATGTGCCCCAGGCTACTCCCCCTCCTTCCCGCCAAGCACGCGAGGCACTGGCACTGAACGTGCAGAAACTTGGACTTTTTTTAAGGAATGGTAGTGATTGTGATGGGAGCACACAAGAACAATGATGGGGTATTATCAATCATCAACATTCATCAATCCGTTTGAGTGAAATCAACTAGATTTTATATTGGCTTCACATTGGCGTATGACATTTTCAGGCACATATGTATTTATATACAGGAGCAATCTCATTATTCTCAGCAAAATCATGCTTTTTTCCCCTCTAACCAAGAATGATGTAACAATTACTCAAAATCTAGAAACCCTCACCTGGCAGGTGGGGAAAAAGGTACAGTGATAAATGGGCTATACCTATTGGATATAGAATGACATGTATATATATATATATTTAACTACTGTATATATATAACAATATATATATATATATAACTATATATATATAACTATATATATGTATAACTATATATATATATAACTATATATATATATAACTATATATATTTAACTATATATATACAGCTATATATATACAACTATATATATATACAACTATATATAACTATATATAACTATATATAACTATATGTAACTATATATTTCACTATATATATATATATATAGTTATTTAAATATATATAACTATATATATATATATTACACTATATACATATATATATATATACATACCCTCCGGCCGCCTGGTTCGCCGTCGCTTGACATGCATCTATTTTGTGTTCGGGTGGGGGGGTGGGGGGTGGGGTGGGTGGGGGGGGGTGTAATAACGTCCTGTTGCGCGCGTTTTGTTGGCTGTAAATATGACGTTATCGCTTTGTTTTCAGGGTGGAAATGTTACGTTATCGCTTTGTGTTCAGGGTGGAAATGTTACGTTATCGTTTTGTGTTGAGGGTGGAAATGCTACGTTATCGCTTTGTGTTCAGGGTGGAAATGCTACGTTATCGCTTTGTGTTCAGGGTGGACATGCTACGTTATCGCTTTGTGTTCAGGGTGGAAATGCTACGTTATCGCTTTGTGTTCAGGGTGGAAATGCTACGTTATCGTATTGTTTTCAGGGTGAAAATGTTACGTTATCGCTTTGTGTTGAGGGTGGAAATGTTACGTTATCGTATTGTTTTCAATCAACAACCATTAGAAGAACTGGATGAACTCAAGAACAACATTGAACATGGTTGTAGTGATCTCAGAATGCATCCTCTTCATCAAGATAGATCTGAACATGCCTCAAAAGAAGCAGAACGAAGGATCGATGATGATTTTGGAAATTTGACAGCATTGCTTCAATCTTATGTTGAGGAACATCAGGTCTTGCCTTACTGTATGATCTTGCATAGCTTGGCTTACAGATATTTAGGTGGAGGCCTACTAGACCCCACACATAAAGATGAAGAATTTCCATACAGATCCTCTCCACAGATTACGATGATGTTTTGGAACTTGGGAAACTGGTGCAGAAGTAAATTTGAAAAATGTCCAGTTCCAGAAAGATTTCAACAACTCATTCCACACATCGACTATAGCCTTGATGAAGATCATAACAAGTTCGATGAGAACAAGACTCAATTCAACAACTACTTCATCAATGTTATCAAAAACTTTGGAGGACATCTCTTCATGAATTGTGAAGCTGGTTCACTTTATCCTCACAGAGGTACAGATGCAAACTTGCTTCAATGACTATCATGATTTGATGGTTGCTGCTCGCATAGGAAAGGATGGCTATATCAGGCAAATTGCTGGATATTGCACAGATGAAAACGACACACGGGTTCGACAAGTCTCATGGGCAATCTTTGATGTATCTTGGGGAAAGACAAAAGACCGTTATACAGAGGAGATTGTTGACTTGACAAGAGCCAGGATGAAGATGACACGTGTGTGTGTTTTTCACGTTGGACAGAAGTACGCATCAGACTCACCTGGTATTGTTGGTGAATGCATAGCCATCATGGCTTGGGAGTGTGCCAGATATCAAGTGGATGTCATTGCAGGTGATGGAAACAAGGCATGCTACTACACTACACCAAAATCTCCAGGTGTCCCCACATATCAACATAGCCTATTACACTTCTGGATTAACAGAATGATAAGTGTTGCAACACAAGCCATGCGCAAGAACCATGATCGAACTTGCCCTCCAATTCAGGGTCAAACATTTCATTTCTTGCAGCTATCGGGATCTTGATTTTCTTGCAACTCATTTGGATGGCATTACAACAGCTACATACACCGAAGAGCATATGAAGAAGACAGATGGCAAAGGTGATTGTTGTATGCTTTCAGTTGTTGAGTGGGGTCATTCACGTCTTGAAAACGAGGAACGCCTATCTGACTTTGATGATGAAGATCACATGAGCTATGTGGGTGAATTTTACTTCAGGGTAAATGAAACTTGCTTACATGGTGATCACAACATCTTTATGGTTGCTCCAAACGATCGTGATGCTCATAACCTAATTCTTGTTCACTTGGACCCTTCTGATATGTCATGGAATGAACGACATCATTATCAGCCAAGTCAAATGAAGATGAGAAATGCTGAAAAGAGAAGGGAAAGACAGAAGGCTAACAAGAGGAAGGCATATGAAGAGCAAGCATCAACGTATCAGGGCAACACTGGCAGAGGTGGATCCTCGGCCTCTTCGTCCAGACCATGGAGAGCAAGCTACAGATGATAAGTGAGTGTATACTTCTTTAACTGAAGATAACACAGGATGAGAGGCCTTGTGCAGTTTTTCTGTGCATCAAACTTGTTTGTCACAGGATGGCATATACTCTTTTAGATAGAGATAATGCCACAAGCGTCGTAACTTCAATTTAATGTAAATAGATACTCTTGTACAAAGAGATACTATAACTATTTATCTCCATGATTTTTCCGTGAGCAGACAACTCCGAATGGAGCGAATTTCAAAAAATTACCAACTTCAATTTTTGTCCATTGTTCGCTTGAATGAGCAACTTTGGAGATCCGCTATTTCCGTTTATGTCGTGATTTGGTCAATTGTTTTTCGTCTGACCTGAATTTCTGAATCTTGCGAATCCGAACTTTTCAATTCGAATCTTCACCGGTAGAGCGAGGCATTTTGCCTGGAGCGACCGTGCATGGCGCACAATTGGTCACTACTAGAAAAATTAGCGAATCCGCTGTCTCTTTTTCGGCATGTCCTTAGGACATTCGCTGCTTTCACGTGTTTTTCATGTCGAAGCCACTGCGTAACTCCGGTTTATTTTTGCTATTTGCCATTGTGTAGAGAAGACAGGAAGATACTCTTAATACCAATTGGGTACGACAAGGCGTAGTGCTCTACTCATTGCTTTTGAATTTGTGCCTCTGTTTTTGTTTCGACCTAATACCTACAGAGGTACATGCATGAGTATTGAGCACATTTATATGCGCCCTTCAAGGCTCAAGAGGTATATAGAGTAACCCTGTAGACAGAGCACTGACCGGCAATACGCTGAGAGTAAAAGAGTGCTGTCATTGGGGAAGACGCCTTAGCTGATCTTGAAGTAGACGCTAGGGCCCCTCTTCAGCCCTCCCCCAATCCCCCCTCCCGTTTTTTTTAAATATTTAAATTTAAACTTGCACATTTTCAATACACTAGTTTCATGAGTTTATATATATATATATGTGTATATATATATATACATATATATATATATACATAGATGTACATATATATATATATCTTTCTACCTATCTTTCCATCCATCCATCCATCCAACCATCCATCCATCCATGTATCTATCTAATCTAATCTAATCTAATCGAATCCAATCCAATCCAATCCAATCTAATCTAATCTAACCTAACCTATCTAATCTATCTAATCTATCTAATCTATCTAATCTATCTAATCTATCTAATCTATCTAATCTATCTAATCTATGTAATCTATCTCATCTATCTAATCTATCTAATCTATCTAATCTATCGAATCTATCCAATCTACCTAATCTATCTAATCTATCTAATCTATCTAATCTACCTAATCTACCTAATCTACCTAATCTACCTAATCTACCTAATCTACCTAATCTACCTAATCTACCTAATCTAATCTATCTAATCTATCTAATCTATCTAATCTATCTAATCTATCTAATCTATCTAATCTATCTAATCTATCTAATCTATCTAATCTATCTAATCTATCTAATCTATCTAATCTATCTATCTAATCTATCTAATCTATCTAATCTATCTAATCTATCTAATCTATCTAATCTATCTAATCTATCTAATCTATCGAATCTATCCAATCTATCTAATCTATCTATCTATCCATCTATCCATCTATCCATCTATCCATCTATCCATCTATCCATCTATCCATCTATCCATCTATCTATCTATCTATCTATCTCTTTATCTATCTATCTTTCCATCCATCTATCTATCCATCCATCCATGTATCTATCTATCCGTCTGTCCATCCATCCATGTATCTATCTATCTTTAAACCGGTGAAGAGCAAAGAAAACACCCGCAAAACGTTTTAAACTCTGGAAAATGAATGGAAGCCAAGGAATCCACCGGTTGGCGAAATGGAACAATCAAACAACACGCCCCGCAAGACAGAATCCAAAAAAAAACAAAAAACTCAGAAAAAAAAACAAAATAATTCTCCGTCCATATTAAAAAAAAAAACATAAATTGCCATGAACTTCTTTGCATCCAACACCATGGTGCCTCAACCTACATTCTACACGTTCACAAGGGGCATGTTCTGCAGTATACACACATGGAGTACCACATTCAAGCTACAGCACTATGGATAAACAATTGAAAACATGGAAACTGAACCAAGCAATGGAAAATCGATGATGCCATAGAAAATTGAAGAAAAACGTAGCAAAATCGAGGAAGGCCACGGAAAATTGAAGCACAACCGTGGAAAAATGAATGAACCAGATAGAAAACCGAAGAAAACACGTGGACAAATTGATGAACGCCATGGAAAATTGAAGCAAAACTATGAAAACCTGAGGAAAACCATAGAAAATGGTTAGGGGAACAATGAGTTTGGCCGGTTTTTTTTGATTCTATTTTTTTTTTTGATACGCTTGCCAGGCCCGGCGCTTGCTTGGCGCAGCCGACGACGCAAGCGGCTGCCTCAGACCAAGTGAAGTGCAGAAATATGTTGTTGCAATGATTGCTCGAGGGGATGGATATGGGTTAGGACAACTCGTTTTGAAGCAAGGGTTTTTCACGCATGTTGCTTTGTTGCATCGCTTGTTGGTGCAGAACTTTTTTTTGACCAAACATGATTATGGGTCAGTTTTCTGATCGCCCCAAAATTGGATAGTTTAATCCCAAACAAGAGATAAAGAAAAACACAAATCGTGGCGAGATGCTGAGGCGCCATGCGCTACGCCCTGGTTGGGGAGGATCTATCCTCCCACCACCAGAGGTAAAGGCGTGGCAGGCCGGCGCAGATGCAAATACCTGATTCTGCGATTCTCCCAAGGTTCAAAGGTGGACAGCCAGAATCAGGTATTTGGAAGTCTGGCAGTTTCAGGGTTGTTGTTGAATCCTCTACTTGAACCTAATAGACTTCCTCTATAAATCCATATTTTTCAACTCCCGCAAGGGGTCTCGAACAAAAAACAGCAGGGGATTCTCATCAAAACATCAGAAATTTCTTGGGGAGGTTTATGGTGTGGTGAGACCCACAATGGTTCTGATTTCAGAGGTTCCTCCATCTGCAAAACAATCTAAGCAGTCCAATGCCCACCACCTTTTTTCGGGAATCCCTCGTATGTTTGATAAATCCACGGACCCAATGTGAACACTCTCCAATCATTTTTTCGCAATGAAATCTGGTGATTTTCAAATGCACGAATGGTAATACGGTCATGAAACATCCAAGAGTATGCATGCATGCTTGGATGGTGTGCAGATTCAAGGACATGCATGTTTGGATGATGTGCAGTATGGCAAGTGGACGTATTTTGCCACGTGCAGGTAGCCTTGGAGTACCGTATTTTGACGGAAATGTTCCTGGTGGCTTGGCTTGATTGTTCGGGTCTTCACATGGACCCAAAGAAATCCGTTTGTGCATCTCAAAACTAAGAATGTTAGATTTCATCTTCACACCATATTTTCTCATACCCAGGGCCTTGGGGAAACGTCGCTTTTTGTTCAACGTCATGCACCATGGCAAGGGTCTCACCCGCGGGGAGAACAATGCCTTTCCAGCCGACGGTGAACCAGGCGGCCTGATCGTATATATATATATATATAGATAGATAGATAGATAGATAAATAGATAGATAGATAGATAGATAGATGGGTTCGACTACACTAGCGACAACTGTTGCTGGGCCTTGGGATCATGGCAACTCTGTGCCCGAGGAGAACTTTCTGCGCAACTGGATTCAAAGCACTTTGGACTCCATCACCATGGAGGTGAGGAGTTTTGAGGGATAATGAACATATTACGTATTATAATAGATCATAATGGTTATAGGGAATTAGGGAATCATTATAGGTAATTCTAATGGTTATATAGCAATATCACTAATGATTATACTAATACTGGTTGGTGGTTTGGAACATGACTTTTATCTTTCCATTCAGTTGGGAAGAATAATCCCAACTGGCTGTCATATTTTTCAGAGGGGTTGGAACCACCAACCAGTGATGATATATTGATAGAATATTGATTATATATATATATCTATTCAAATTTATTTTATCAGGGAGGTGGGATTATTGGATCCAGAAGGTGAGTCAAACTGACTCAAACAATTTTGCTGTACCTATAGTGGCAGATCAAACCTATTTTTGCTGACCTGTTTTGCAGAGTAGATTTGGAATCTGATGGTTTTGTCGAGGGGCTAGGTTGACTGGGCATGACTGCTTGGTGGCTTCGTGTTCCATGCTTACTGCCTCCATCTATGCTAGCAGTGTATCTTATGGTTGCAACCACCAACTCTCTCTCTCTATATATATATAATGATCATATGTATACCATGATAAATGTAAATCGAATTATCATATTCTATTATGTATCCCCATATATATACCTTGCCAATGTATACAGAATACACAGCAGTGGTTGTTGCTCCCTCCCATCCCTCCTTTGTTTTGGCCCATCCATGGAAAATGGTATTATTCGCCAGACAGATCAGACAGGACTCGCATTTCATGACATTTATCAGGTGTTTGAACACTCCAAAAAATGAGAATCATATGGACATGGCCCACAATCTACGGGAAATCCTATGAACCTCAGATGGTTTCCATAGTCATGGCGATACCCCGTAGTGCTGGCATGGTTTATGGAAAATCTCCAAAGCAAATGGTTTCGGGCTGGCTTTGGAAACCTCCAGAATGGTTCAATGATGGTAAGTGAGAAACCCCGGATAGATGGAGGTGTTCAAAACCCCTGTTGCTTGATGATGGGGATTAGCTCATAGTCCAAGAACGGGGAATCCCTATAAACCAACATTCGTATTTCATGGAATGGTAAAACAATAATAAACCACAAATAGGTGGTATAAACCAGTCCCAAATGCCTTTCAAACGTGGAATGATAGAGGGATTTATTTCACACTGCTCAGATGGAGAAATTTCGGATCTCCCTATCAGTCGCCTCGTTCGCCGACGCCAGTGTGGAGATCCCTGTGCCATTGCCACAGAAGAGAAACTCACGGAGGTCTACGCTGGTGCTTTGCCATGGAAGGCGTATGTAAATTGTATTGGATATAGTGTAGTACTACAGTAATCACTATACATGTATATATTCAATGATATGTAATCATATAATACAATGTTATATAATCATGTATATATATATATATAGCACTATACAGCTATACATATAGACATATATATATATAGTTATATTTATTTTTGTGTGTAATTAGATATAATTATGTCCAAACATGTGTATGTATGTATATATATGTATATTTTTCAATTGTATATAATTATATAACTTATTTAAATTATATATACATATATATATATATACGTATCGCATATCTTATTTAATTATATACGCAAACAGAAATAATCGTACATATATATATATATATATATATCATACATATACATATGCATATACGTATACTACAAGTACATGTACATGTACATATTATATATGTGTATATATATATATTGTGAATCATGCTCATTTCCCACCAGTGTCCTTGGCTATTTCCACTTGTTGCACCATGCCATGCACGTTCAGGTAACCAAAGGGGCTGTCTCATGCAGGCACGTGGCTCAGGAAGCCATTGGTTTTTCAGGAAGAGAGGCGGGTGGGAAAAGCCTTGACGCCATAGAACTGGCATTGGCCGTGGACGGCCGTTAGTAGCTTGTGGGCTACTTGGAGCGTTTGTGGAAAAAGCAGCGAGGCCGCTGCACGAGCTTGAAGGTTGGGCGAAGAGGCTTCGCTTGGTGATTTGGAGTTGATATCCGCTGACCAATCACATTGGTAGCGGAGCCCCCAGCAATCCAAACGCGCTGGGGGCATCCGGGAACCTTTGGAAGTTCGCTTGGTGACCAGGTTTCAATTTTTTTGGCCTGTTGGGGTTTTTCTGGATCCTGCGCTTACAACTCTGCAATGGTTGGTGTCGAAGGTGCAGAAGCATCCACAAGTATCCCAAGTCAGCTTGCAATTTTAGTTCCGAGTTTCGACCCATCGAAGGATGACTTACAGGTGTATCAGCAGAAGATACAGTTGGTCTTAGCAGTCTGGCCTCCTGGAAAACTGTCAGAGTTGATCACACGATTGATTTTGAATACATCAGGGTCAGCCTTTGCAAAACTCCAGCTACATCAGGAAGAGCTCTGTGTGAATGATTCGAAAGGCGTGAAACGCCTCATTGAACTTCTTGGAGGGCATTGGGGCCAAATTGGCCTTGAGAAAAAGTATGCCGACGCAGAAAGAGCTTTGTTCCAGTGCACGCAGAAGTCTGACGAGAGTCACGACTCTTTTCTGGCCCGCGCGGACATTTTGTGGACAAAGCTCAGAACCCAGAAGCTTCAGATAGAAGATCTGCAGGCTTACATCACACTGAGGGGATCGCTTCTCAGCAGCGATGACAAGAAGCGAGTGATTCTGGAAAGTGATGCATCTCTAGAAGGGAAACTCACCATCGTTCGGGTCCAAGAGGCAATCAGACTTTTGGGAACCACGTTCTTTCAAGAGATGACAGGGTTGTCGAAGACTTCAGGAAAGACCAAAGTGTATGACCAAGTTCATGCCGCCATAGATGAAACCGAAAAGCAAACTGAAGCTGATGACCCAACTTTCACTGCCCAGCATGACGATGTACCGGAAGAAGAAGTAATGGAAGCTCTTATCGCCGAAGGCGATGAGGATGCATGTTTTGTGGCCGATTTCGAAAGTGCAGCAGCCGATTTACTTCAAGGTGACCCCGATCTTTCCTCGGCATTTTCAGCTTACACTGAGGCACGGAGGAAGCTGAGTGAAAAAGTGAGATTCCGAGGTTTCTGGCCAGTTCAGAAAGGTCGGGGAAAAGGAAACAACAAGGGAAAAGGGAAATTCAAGAATCCATGGTCAGGCCGCAAGAGCTTGCAGCAGAGGATATTGGAAAGTAACTGTAGACTGTGTGGACGTAAAGGGCATTGGAAAAGTGAGTGTCCAATGCGCAGTCAAAGTGCCTCTTCCAGCACCGTAGCCTCTGCCCCAGTGACGCTCTCTGTTGGAGCCCTCGCTTCCATGGATGAAGTCATGCCGCTCGAGTTCATGAAGTTGCCAGAGGTGGATCCACCATCTACCCAGGACATCCGTAGTGCCACATCAATTTGTTGTGTACAGTCAGTTTTTTCCAAGAGCGGTCAGTACAAGCATGTCGAGAAAGCCCATTCTGATAACATGAGGGTAACTAGGGAGAGGATTAGAAGCTATGTTCAGGGTAACACGGATAGCCATAATCCCAAAGTGACATCCCTTGTGAGCAGGATTGAATCTCGCTTGCGTGCATCCGCCGTTGACAGCCGTGCCGAGCCCTGTGAATCTGAGAGAGCATCCGTCCCACCGGTTCCGATCCAAAGGAACGCCATCAAAGTTTCAAGCAAAGCATCCCGGGCACAAAGTGCCAATGCTGGTTTCTCCGAGATGGACAGTGCCGAAGCCTTGTTTTCAACACATGATACATGGGGAATAATAGATACTGGGGCGACCAAAACGGTTATTGGTAGTGAACATGTTCCAAGTTTTCTTCAAGGGTTGTTGCCGGAGATCAGAAAGCAGGTCAGAAGGTGCCGTTGTGATGTAGTGTTTCGTTTTGGGAACCAAGGGACCCTTAAATCAGAACACGCAATCATGGTTCCAGTAGGCGGCCTAGGCCTGAAAATCGCTGTGGTCCCAGGTGCCACACCGTTTTTACTCTCCAATACCCTGTTGAGAGCTCTTGGTGCAGTGGTTGACACCGCCTCAAATGCCTTGGTCATGCCTAAACATGGTACCCAGGTCCAGCTTGCTTTGTCGCCCAAAGGCTTGTACCTGCTTGATTTAAACAAACTGATTCAGGCGGGTTGTCAAGAGAAAGATGCCTCCAGGGTTGCTGAAACTTTTGCACAAGACAGCATCGCCGAAGAAAGCAAAATATCGGAATCAATGGGTCGAAAGGAAGATGTTCAGAAGGTCGTCACAGGTTCAAAGGTAAAAGCCAGCTCGTCAGCCGAAACTCAACATCACATGTCATGCCAAGAGACCGTTTTGAAATCAACCAACATGCCGAACAGCATCATGTCCACGTCATGCAATTCAGAAGATGATCAATCCAAGTTTGTACAGAATCCGAAAGACCATCAGCCTCAAAGCAATCCCGTCGTGTCCCAAGTGATCGCATCGTGTGAACGTCATGAGCGAGTGGACCCATCGTCTCCAGAAGGTCCAAGCAGTCCTCTCACCCAGAGAGGAGGAAGCCATCGATCACATCCCACTGTCAGCTCTGAAAGAAGAGAGAATGTCATTTGGCAAAACCCACGTCGGAAAGACCTACATGGAGGTGTGGATGTCGAGCCCGGAGTGGACCAAGTGGTTCCTTCAACATTACGAGTCCAGCAAGAAGTTGTCCCATCGAAAAATGATCCGATTCATCAAGTTGATGATAGAGGAGACAGAGACTCATGGAGAAGGAGTTCAACAATCACCAGTGCCACCCGCCAGTCATGCCACTCCCAAGGTCATGATGACACGTCCCAAAGCCAAGGCAATGCCGATGACATCCGGTCATCCCGGAGAGTCGACAGGTGTGGAAACTCCGTGGGTACCGTCGGAAGATCAGTCCGAGATCCATGCTCTTCAGGCTCGCATGGGGAATCTGGAGAATGCCTTGCACCAGATCCTGCAGCACTTGGTGCCAGAGCCGGTCGAGACCTTCCCGACGATGCCCATCGACGAGGAATGGAACGATCCCTGGAACAATTGATGGCTGAGATGACTACATGCGACTCAGCTCTGACAGCAGGGGAGGTTGACACGTTTGGAGAATCCAGCTTGAACAAAGAACGTTTGCAGTTTTGGAAAACAGTGGACAAAATTGAGAAAGAGATGAGCAACATCATTTCCCAAACCAGACCACTAGGTAAATCCATAGACTTGCTTGAAGTGTTCTGCAGTGAAGATAGCAATCTGACAAATCAAGTAAACGCTCTCGGAGGGAAAGCCATGAGATTTGGACTCTGCCAAGGAGACCTGCAATCTGAAGAAGGCCGAGCCAAGCTGTTCCAGTTGGTTGGAAGGCACCAGCCTAGAAATATTTGGATGAGTCCGGTTTGTAAACCCTGGTCATGTTGGTCACAGTTCAATAGTCAAAGATCCGTAGAAAGCTGGGACAAAATCCATGCTGATAGACATGACAGTCTCATCCAAGTAGCTCTTTGCCTTGCGCTGTGCCGATACCAAGTTCATTTGCAACGCCATGTCCATTGGGAACAGCCCAAAGGATCCCTCATGATGTCCATTCCGTACGTGCAGGAAATTTATAGGTATCTCAAACATGCATATCCAGACTTGTGTGTGGCCGGTGATTTGAAAGATCCTGTGAATCACATGCCCATAAAAAAGGGATTACATATCGCTACGTCTTCATGCAAGTTGGTTGATGAACTGGATTCCCTGCGTTGCCATGGACATCACCAACATCAACAGATCGAAGGATCCACAAGAGCGTTTGGCCAAACAGTGTCCAGGTCGACCTTTTCCGAATGGTATCCCCGCCGATTTGCCAGACGGGTAGCAAGAATCCTGATGAAGAATCAATATCCCAAAGAAAAACCTTTCAGCAGTTTGTGCGATCCAGCATTGGTGTTGATTGATGCAGTCTGTGCAGCCGGTGAAAGGGAAGCCAAGCGCCAGCGAATGTCTGCCGGCCGTTCCAAGAAATCTCAGTCTGCAGACAGGCAAGCCGACAGTGATCATATCCACAAGAAAACCAAGACCATGGGTGAAGATAAAGACACGTCATCAAACACCGAAGCATGTCAGGAACCACCTGATCAAGCACATGAAATCATGCAGAAGATCGAAAAACTACTTCCCAGAGTAGGTCGCAAAGTTTTTGATCAGCCCGACATCAAGCAAGCCATGCAAGAGATGTTTCCTGAAAAGATAATCAAGTGTATTGTTGCATGTAAGGGAACGGAACGTACCTTGGCCCCACCTGAAGGTCTCAACAAAAGGGAAGCACCTTTTCGGCGAGCCATCATGAAACTTAGAAGCAATGGCAGTATCATAATGGAGCCAGAATGGGAGAAGCATGACACGTTGTCCCAAAGGAAAATCGTGCGCAAGTCACTGCCCTGTCGGGTCAATATAACTGTCTTTGCAGCCAATCCCATCACCACAGCAGCTCCATCGATGCCGCCAAAGAGCGATCCAAATGTACAGGCTGAAGCATCTCGGCTAGATGCAGGTGTCTCATCCGAAACTGTTCCAGCAACCCAGGAAAAGCATGAGACGCAGGAACCCGAGAGTAATCCGTTGGTTGCACCATCCTCTGAAGAAAGTGATGAGATAATCGAAAGGGATCCAGCAGTTTCCCAAATCTCGCAAGAGACACCAACATCAGCAGTACATGGTCCAAGATTCATGGCCTTGCCGAAGGAAGAACAGGCAATGATCAAGCGAGCCCATCAGAATCTCTGCCACCCGAGCCCAGAACAATTCAGTGCACTTTTGCGCCAGCAGGGAGCTCGAACTGAACTCCAGCAGGCAGTGTTCGACTTGTCATGCCCGGTATGTGCCACCATGAAGAAACCAAAGATTGCCCGACCAAGCACGGTAAAACATGAATTGGACTTCAACGATAAAATCTTTGTAGATGGAATCACTTGGACAAACAAGTCAGGGAGAAACTTTCATTTTTACCACATCATTGATCAGGCAACCAATTACCATGTGGCAGTTCCAGCACCGAGCAGAACCACCGAAAATGCCATCAGGTGTTTGTCCGAGGCATGGCTCATGTGGGCAGGGGCACCGAACATGATAGTAACAGACTCTGCAACGGAATTTCTCAGTGAAGCCTTTCAGAATTTTCTTCAACGTCACGACATAAAGCCCGTGACCACTGCACCGTATGCCCACTGGCAGAATGGCCGGTGTGAACGCCATGGCGACATCCTTCAGCACATGTTATCCAAAGTAGATCTTGAGTATCCAGTAGAGACCTATGAAGACTTGCTGCAAGCCCTGTTGCAATGTACCAACGCGAAAAACACTTTGAGTATTCGTAGAGGGTATTCCCCAGAAACCCTAGTGTTTGGAAAATGCTCAAAACTACCTGGATCCCTTTGCAGTTCTGAAGGATTTTCCTCTTTGGCAAGTGCAGACCGCGAAGATGCCACAGGCATTGCTTTCAGGAGGAGTTTGGCATTGCGTGAGAAAGCTCGTACTGCCTTTCACCAGGCAGACAATGACATGGCACTCCGACGTGCATGCCTGAGACGGTCTCGTCCCAAGCGAGACGCCTATGAAGCTGGAGAATGGGTCATGATGTGGCAACCAAATCCGAAAGGGGGACATTGGTTCGGACCACTTAAAGTGATCACTCAAGAAGACCAGCACTCAGTATGGGCCACCCAAGGGGGAAAACTCCATAGAAGGGCACCTGAACATATCCGACCAGTTTGTTCACATGAAGCTCGCCAGATACCCAGCAGTGACCAACCCGACAACATCCCATCCAATAGTCCACTTTCGAACACCCTGCAAAGAATCACCAACCAATTTCAAGACGATGATAATCCTCAAGAGATAATCAATCCAAGTCAGATGAATAACCCCAACCCAAATAACCCCCTCACTAATTTGCAATCCGATAATGCCAGCCAATCTCAAGAACAACCAGATGATGAACCTGAAGCTATTACCACACCAAATTCCCAGAGTTTTCATGAAGTCAATAACCCTGCAATAAACACTCCAATTCCGGAACTTGAGGAAGGGGATGAGTTGGTAACGACACACCTCCTATGTGTTGAAGATGAAGTCATGGTTGTGGATCCAATTGAGGAACCCTGTGCGTGGCGCTGTGAACTGGAACTCCCGAATGCCTTGTGCTCCAAAGACCTCGAATCCTGGTCACCAGATGACATCCTTCTGGCCACCACCGAAAAGAAACAACGCACAGAGGTAAAACTGTCCATGCTAACAGCTGAAGAACAACGAGCGTTTCAACATGCCAAAGAAGCTGAGGTTAATAATTGGTTGAAGACTGGAACAGTATCCAAAATCCTCAGACATAAACTTGCACCTGAACAAATTTTGAGATGCCGTTGGATATTAGTATGGAAGCCTTTGGATGGTCAATCAGGTAACTGCACAGGCAATTCAAAGCTGGCCACTCACAAGCCCAAGGCACGTTTGGTGGTGTTAGGGTATATGGATCCAAAGCTCACTGAGGTACCAAGGGACAGTCCCACGTTGGGTCGTCAATCAAAAATGTTGATCCTTCAGCTGATAGCGTCCATGGGATGGAACCTTGGATCCTTCGATATAAAGGCAGCATTTTTGCAGGGCAGACCGCAAAAAGACCGAACCATTGGTCTGGAACCAGTAGCTGAACTTGCGAAAGCCATGAACCTTTCTAAGGACGAAATATGCAAGCTTGACAAGTCAGCGTATGGACTTATCGACGCACCATTTTTGTGGTTCAAGACCCTACATGATGAATTGCTGTCCCTGGGGTTCATTGCATCTCCATTTGATCCGTGCGTTTTCTTGCTGAAGAATCCAGAGACTCAAAGACTCTCAGGAGTGCTTGGGATACATGTCGATGATGGCATACATGGAGGTGATGAATTTTTCCATCAACAGATATCCAAACTTGAACAAAAGTACCCAGTCGGATCAAAGAAGTCAAACACTTTCACATTCACTGGCATTGACCTTCACCAAAATACTGACAACAGCATTGAACTTTCCCAATCAAAATATGTAAGAAATATCAATCCCATTTCACTCACCACAGAAAGAAAAGCTGACGAGAATGCACCAGTGACCGACACTGAACGACATCTCCTGCGTGGCCTGATCGGCTCGTTGCAGTATGCTGCGGTCCACACTCGACCGGATTTGGCAAGTTCTTTGAGTTTTCTTCAATCAGATATTAACAAGGCCACTGTTTCCACCTTAATTGCAGCCAATAAAGCCCTTCACATTGCCAAGAAACATCATGATGTCACCATAAAAATACAACCCATCAAACCAAATGACCTGAGATTTCTTGCCTTTTCGGACGCTTCCTTTGCATCGAAGGTGAAACCTGAATCACATGCGGGGATGATAATCTTGGCTACCCATAAGGATATATCCCAAAACAAAGCTTGTCCCATCAGTCCCATTTCATGGGGATCAAAGAAAATTCAGAGGGTTGTCACAAGCACTTTATCAGCAGAGACATCGGCTTTGTCTACAACCTTAGACCAGTTAACCTGGCTTCGTTTGTACTGGGCCTGGATCTTCGATCAAAGTATCAGATGGCAAAACCCTAGCGAAGTTTCAAATCTCCCTGAGGCCTTAACGGTTCCCACTATGAAAGTTGATGAGAAGGATCTAGCCATAACAGACTGTAAAAGCTTGTTTGATCTCACCACACGAACAGCGGTTCCAAATTGCCAAGAATACCGTACCCAACTGCAAGCCAGAGCCATAAAAGACATACTTGATGAAGGTATCCAACTGCACTGGGTTCACAGTGGGGCCCAACTTGCGGATGCACTTACCAAGACCATGGAAGCCACGTTCCTGCGTTCAACCCTCAAACATGGTTCATATTGTCTTCACGACATTGAGCAAGTGTTGAAGGAACGTGCCACCACTCGAAATCGAATCCGCTGGTTGAAAACCACTACTGAGGAAATGAGCTAAAAGCACAAAACTTTGAAGTTTTGGGAGTGTGAATCATGCTCATTTCCCACCAGTGTCCTTGGCTATTTCCACTTGTTGCACCATGCCATGCACGTTCAGGTAACCAAAGGGGCTGTCTCATGCAGGCACGTGGCTCAGGAAGCCATTGGTTTTTCAGGAAGAGAGGCGGGTGGGAAAAGCCTTGACGCCATAGAACTGGCATTGGCCGTGGACGGCCGTTAGTAGCTTGGGGGCTACTTGGAGCGTTTGTGGAAAAAGCAGCGAGGCCGCTGCACGAGCTTGAAGGTTGGGCGAAGAGGCTTCGCTTGGTGATTTGGAGTTGATATCCGCTGACCAATCACAATATATATATATACATATACATGTGCGTATACGTATACATATACATGTGCATGTACACGTACGCATACATACACATGTGTAAATCCTCCAAAAAAATGCATTTCCCTAGAATAATCTTGATCGCCAGTCCCTTTTCAGACCCAGCGCAGCCGAGGTTTGCTGAACAGCTGCAACGAGGATGGAGCCTCGATCGCGTTGCCACAGCGCTGGGCTTGTGAAGCCTTGCCACCGCCCGAAGGCGCCTGGGGCTTTCCTGAGTCAGGTACCTTCCAGTTATCATTGAGTCGTAGATGACCATGAGTAAACCTATGGTGACGGGGATCCCGGCCTTAAGAAACCCTAATGGTGCTATAATATGCTATAATGGGAGAATCATGGGCATGTTGGGATCATTTGGATAAATGTGAACCGTGGTGACGTCACTGGAATGATGGGAATTGGATTTGGGCAACTATCCCAACATTGAGTCGAACATGTCAGGTTATTGAATTCTGACATGATTGATCCAGAATCATTAGGGGATTTCTGGTGACATGTTTTGGGATGGTGAGACCACTTCTCTTTGTTTTCCCCTAGTAAATAGCGGCATAAAACGATAGATTGAACACTCAATATGGAAGCCCTGGAAGCCCAAATGAGTTGTGCAGCGTTTACTGTGGGTATCTCCCTGCAGATCCCAATATTGTGATTGCAATATGAATAGCTCGGTAGATACTCTTTACTTCCTAGCTCAGCTCCCTTTTGCTCGGTGGGAGCATGATTTTTCAGCCCTGTCCTTTGTGGTAAACCCAACGTTTGATCATTAAATCTCTGTGTTTGACATCTAAAATCATCTTAAAACCCAATTCTGGATTGTGCAATCCCAATTTCAGCTGCTTCAATAGCGATTTTCGCAAACGAAATCCACCTGGGTGTTTGTTGAACATGGGGTCATGGGGTACCCGGGTATCCCATTCTGCTCACTGGTTTATCACCATTTTCCCCTTCGGCCCCGTGTATCCTGCATTTCTGGGCAAAGCCAAATTTCACATTGTTTCTTCTCACATCCCATTACTGATTATATATACCCCGTTATATCCCCATTGTATCCATTTTGGTATAACTTTGATGATATATGCAATGGTTATAATGAGAATGTATGGTTTGTACATACATTATATTATGTTATATAGTTATATATATATATGTATATATATATATATCATATCCCATTTATATGGTGAGGTTACCATATATTTTCAGACAAACCCACATGAGCAGTGTTGAAAACCCTGATTGGTTCGGGGGGTTATACTAGCCAGATGTAGCCAATATATTGGGGATTATCATCGTAAACTATGGGAACCCCATTCTTAAACAACCAGTCTCGTGGAATAAGTTGGTGCCATCGTTTTTTTGTTGGTTCACAATACCTAGTCAACCATAATGATTATGATCCATTATAGAGGAATCATTTGTTAAATATAAACCACAATGTATTTTTCCATATCAAATAATGATCATCCAACATATAATCCTTGCCCCCTAAAACTAAACACCCCCAAACGAAACCATGGTTTCGCTTAGGGTATAAAAAAAACACTTCTTTTGGACGGGTGTATCATCTGAATGACATGGGGGATGGGATCCCAGTGGTTTATTGTCACCAGTGGAAGCACCGGTTGTAGCAAGGAATAACCTGGGGTTTTGGGGGATCTCATCCCCATTTTTGAACATTTCGCATGTTGGTTTATGGGACTTTCGTTCTTAAGCGTTGGCTCAGGTTGGCGCAGCCTGGTCCAGCAACTGATTGCCGCTGGGGTAGTGACCTGTCGCGTGCGAGTGCAGGAGAGGGGTCCGCAATGGCAGGGGCCGGCTCAACTCGTGGAACCCCAAATTTGCATTGTAATAGGCTTTCACAGCAAGGTTTGGACGGAACAATACTTGGATCACTTGGTATTCAGGTGGATCAAGCAAACCATGTGTGAATTCACCACCCAAGGATCTTGAGTGTTTTTGAAGCCGGCGCAGGACAGAAGCGAAGGCAAGGCATCAGGCAAGGGAGGCGGGATGGGAAGGATCGGTGGTCAGTGCCATCGGGAGTTCAACGCGGATGGGATAGTGGGTCTCTGAGGTCTTAGCCAGTTCCTTCACTGTTGCCTGGTGTTCTGGGTTAGAACCCTGCTTAGCCTTCCACAGTGAAAGCCCTCAAGGTTTCAGGGGCCCCAATGACTTGCCACTGAGGCCTGCAGCTCACGTGGATTCAAATGGGGTTACACTTCCCGCAATCGTTTGCATGGTGGATTCAGAATAAGTTTTGACTAATGACTAATGACTAATGTGCCCATATATTTCCTTGGTCTCAAGTGTTCCATGATTTTGGATGCATAGAGACTGGGTAGCAACCGGCTAATGTAGTATACCAATCAGTGTCATCGGACCATATTGTGATATTTTTCAAAAATTATTGAGCATCCTGCAAATGGTGGGGGTGGGCCTCCATTGTGAGTTGTTTTTTCTCAGATCCAATTTTTTCAGGAGGAGCTCTATCCACCTTTACACACCTTTCTTGGGTAAAGCTGGTCCATTTACTTTAGAAAACCATATCCATGTTAAAGCCTTGAAAATGCAAGGTTCCCCAAATAATTAGATGCCTTATTAAACCCTTGTTAAAGAACAGCAGCCAAACAATTTTTCCAGGGGGTACCCATGAATGGCCCAGATCCTCAATAGTATAATTGTTTGGATGGTACCCTATTGCGCACACAAACTTTTGGGGTGAAACAAAAAAACCTTTATCCACCTTTCTTTGGGTAAAGCTGGTCCATTTACTTTAGAAAACCATATGCATTGAATTCATGTTTTGTCAATAGATTTCTTTGAGGTTTAAAAGGAACAGCAATTGATAGTAATTAGATTGATTTCAATTGAAATCCTTACTTAAGTTGATCATCCTGAGTTCCCCAGACCTGGTCCCCAAGAAAATTCCGAGTTAATGAGTAGACCAAAATTGTTGGGGGTGGCCCTACACTAATCATTAATCAGTATCCAACATCGCTAAACTATGGTTAGGGAGGTATTCAAATTATTAGGGGGAAAGGATAAGTTGTTTCTAAACCCCTCACCTCACCTCCGGGTCCCCAGGCAAAAGCTCCAAGGGCGTGAAGGGCCCCAGAAGCCCTGCGCCGCCTGCAGCATCACCCGCTCCCAGCGCCGTGCCCGGGTCGCTGTCGGCGGCCTTTGCATGGGGCAAGGGGCAGGACGCTGGGTGCAGAAATCCTGTGGGAAGCCCAGAAAACCACTTAGGGATGGTCTGTATATATGGTGTATGGTTTATGTATACTGTAAGCTATATATATATATATATATACATGTGTTATATGCTTTATATATGGTTCATACCACCCATTTACGGTTGTATTGAGGATGGTTTATAATTGGGTGTACCACACCATGGGATTTACTTCCATTTTAATCCATTTTATGGCTATTTGAATAGGCAAAACATGGGGTTGGAACCAGATTTTTTTTCGGTGCACCCTATTTTCATAAAAACTCAAATGTGGAGGGTCGCACTTGCAAGAATAGAATGATAGATATGGAATTTCAATGGATTCAGGGCAAGATTTGGGTTTCGCTGGGAAACTAAAACTGGACAGATTGCAGACGTTTAGCCAGAATAAAAGGATAAACACTTGGCTGTTACCCATCGTCTTTTTTGCATGGAATTATTATATATACATTTACTGTATTAAATAGATATACACAGATATCAGTATGACTATGAGTCAGATATCTAATATATGTAATATATGGATCAATATTATATATATATATATATATTATGGTTAGTAGTATGGTTAGTAGGGGTAACTATCCCATTGTGAGCATTATTTCAGGCCGGTGAATTATGATATTTCACCCAGATATACAACTGTATACAAAATATATAGTATTATGCCATATATCATATATCGCTAGAGTATCACCATCATTCCTATAAGCGATACCTCTTTCTTATACATCAATATATCACTATATTCTTATATAATGGATCTACTGTATAAGTCTATACATGACTATGTATCACAACAATTTCTAATATAATTACACCTAGAACTTCCAAAGTAGCACGTTTATTTTCTGACAATCAGCTCAGAATGGACATTGGGCGGAACTTGGCCCCTGGGCTTCTTTACAATTAGCTGGGACATGGGCGAAAAAACCGCGGAACATTGGCAGAACTCCCCGGATCACAATTTCCGATTTTGAGTCTAGCACTTCCAGATGCTGCGAGTTTTCTTTCTTGGGGCCCTTGCCTTTTCTAAGAGGCGCTCACCACATCTCGCCGTTCCAGCCCTTACCAACTCAGAAGTTTCATGACATTTTGTTACTTGCCATACAAGAGATAGATAACTTATATATTGCTTTGTTTTCGGAAGGACATGTTTTGGTCTAAGGGAAATCATAGGGTGCGTTTTTTCCAAGCATTGTTAGACCAGGGCCAATCCCAATGTTGTCCATTTTGAAGAAGTTTGTCCAATTTGGAAAAACAACAAGTGGCGGGAATTTCTTGACAACATGCATGTGGATACTTGTGGAAGATCCAGGTATGTCTATATTGTATATATATATATTATCTGATATTATATTATATATATATTATGTTATTATTATTACTATTATCACTATTATTATAGTTATATTATCATATATTTTTATATTCTCATATTATCATATTATTGTATTACTATATTCTTATATTATCATATATTATATTATTGCATTACTATATTATTATATTATCATATATTATCATATTATTACACACAGACTCCGAGGTTTTCCCAAGCCCAGAATAGCGCAAATACCAGGGAATTCTGTACGACGTCAAACAACGGGAAGGATTTTATGTTCAATTATGTTGCTAGGGTGTTAGCCTGTGTTGCTTATACATATCATATAACCAGAACATGAGGGTTTCTTACAGGGTTTCTTATACAGTAAGTTATAGCGTTTCAAGAAGATATCAAAGTCCCCTGGCCCCATGGAACAACTAACCATACGGTCACTCGGGTCTCTTACATCATCATCATCATCATCACCATCATCATCATCATCATCATCATCATCATCTTCAATATTTTGGCTTGCCCGGAAGCTCGTTGCGAGTCCGGCAAAACCTCAGGGTCTTGCTGTATTATTATATTATTATATTATTATATTATTATATTATTATAGACTATTATACTGTTATATTATGTTATTATATGTTTGTATCATTATATTATTGTATATTACAATTACTGTTATTATTATCATATTATTAGTAGCAGTAGTACCATTGGTTCTATTATGATTATATCTATTATTTTTAGTATGATTGTTTCTATAATAAATATAACTATACATATACACACTATCAATATAACTATATCCATATACAGTACATCATATAGAATATTGTATCATGATGACATATCATGACACACTATCACACAATCCTATGTAATAGTGTATGCTATCATATAACTATACATATCCCATAATACACTATATTTTTGTTAACATAATATGGTTATTATATGATAACATAATTATTGACAATGATATTTATATAGTATAACTATTTGATAATATAACTAATGATATTTATATTATAGCTATATCATATGATCATAAATATAACTACAGTATAACTACATTATTATTACTATTGATCATGAATATAACTATTTTATGATAATGACGTCTACTAGGGATTTCTGCAACTGCACCGCCTCCAGGACTACCCGGAGCGACCAGCGGAGCCCTTTCAACCTCCTCGGCGGCCCAGCACCGCACCGCACGGCGAAGGCGTTCATGTGATTTACCGTGGTGGAAACGGCCATGAAAACCATGAAAAACATGGTATTTCTGGGCAGTTTCAGGAAGTTTCTGGGAAAAATGAGCACATTTCGGGAGTTCACTGTGACTTCATGTTGTTTTCTGTAATTTGGTCCTGATTCTGAGCAGGTTACTGGACATTTTGGGGCAAAAGTCGGGACTTAAGTGCTTCAACCACTAAGAAATGGAGATGTGGATAGAGCATTGAGCGTGATGATGAGAAAGGGAAACCATGGCAGAATGATAAAATTGGTTGTTTATGGTTATTTCTGATCTGAGTTATTGCAGCGCATGTGGGGAAAATGTTGGGTCAATCTTGGAGAATGATAGGGTCATTTTTGTGCGACAAATGGGTAGATGAAAACAGACGGACTAAGTATGACAGGATATCTGATCGGCAATGAGGATGGGAAATTAACAAGAGGATAAGTTCAGAACTGGGACTGGAACATGTCCCAATCACTAACCCTTGTACAAGATGGGGTCCAATCAGTCAACATGGCTCCTTTTTTGCGTGTGGATTTATCATTGACGTCATTGCCACCGTATCACTTGCGTTTTCTGTATTCCAAACAATCTCCCCCTATCAGTACTCCCCTTCCCTCTGTGCTATCACATCGAGAATCGACCTTTACATGCCCTTTTTTTCGGGGAGAAGCAGATCTATCAATGCGTTTCTCAGTCAATCTGTCAGGTGTTGGTTTGCCAAGTGTCTATGTGAGACGTCGCGGAAACTACGGCACCGGCAGCTAGGAAGTGCTGTTAGCTGTCCACAGTAGCTGTTAGATTCCGAAAAATAGTTGCTGCCGGGTGGAAAGGAAAGAAGAGTCAGACATGGTGCACAGTTTGCGATCAAGACAATCTGCATATATTTGCATGCAAAAGAAAATAGATCAGGGATTGAGGTGAGGGAATTGTTTTCAGGATTTTTACCAGCCTACCAGGTTCTTTGAGACCCCCAAGCTGCAACTGCCTTTCATGGTTTTGTAATTGTCATAATCTGGTTCATCCACTCAAGCAGGGAATCAACTGGGACTACCAGACAAGTGTCATTAACAATTTCAATGGCTATAGGTAAGGGTCTACCAACGTACTGCTTACGGTGGTTTGGAACAATGACTGTTATTTTTCCCATCATCTTGGGAATGTCATCAATGTCATCATACCACCAACGTATAATTGATATGGGGGAATGAACATCCCAGGGTACCAGAGCGAACTGACCATGATGCCCATATTGTAAAAGCCTCGGAAATCTTCGAATCAGTAAATCGCTTGGGTAAACAATGACAACATATTCTCATATATTCTCAAGATCTTCATAAAATCTTCATAAACTTATATGCGTATATGTATATATATATATTATATATAGTATAGTACCATATGATATCATGTAATATATTACATTAAAATTATCTGTACATTTTCCGCATTTGGCTGATTTTCCATTGCCAAGTGCCGTCGCAGTCGGAATTTGAGCATCCAGTCTACATTTGGCCTTAAGGCGATGGGACTGGGGGATAACGACTGGTTTGAACGAGATCAAAAGGCTTCGGAAAAGGTACACCTATCAAGGTAGATCTATTTGGATTGGCCCAAATCATGGAGCTGGATTGCTGGATCTTGGTGGTTTCATAACCATATCCGAATTCGATATACACTCTGGTAAACGTTTACATAACTATAGAAAGATCCACCATTTTGTAGCTGGGTAAATCAACTATTTCTATGGCCATGTTCAATAGCTTTCTGTTTGTTTACCAGAGGGTAGATGAAAACATGGTTTGAATGCTTTGAATGCTTTGAATGCTTTGGATTGAGGTTTTTGCTGTTCAAAAATCATTTATAGCCTAATGTGTAAGAAACATGGGTAGTTCCGAAAGGCAAGATCGATTGAATTCAATGGTCCGATCCAACATCATTTGGCTTCCAGCCAATTTACTAACCCAACCATTGAAAGGACTGATTTAAATATATACCTGTGATTCATGGTAATATTATGTAATATTATATACTATAACATCATAAATATAATAATACATGATAACATAACTATATATTATATATAATATATATACAATTACGTATTTCGGTAGTATGACAAATCTATGTAATATTGGGATGTCTTTTGACGCTGGCAGGAGGCATCCATGACTGGCGCCGGTGCCCGTTGAGGATGACTATGGACGCCAGATCATCCGTGATACACCAGTTGATAGGTGGTACCCTCTGGTAAACGTTTACATAACTATAGAAAATCACAATTTTTAATGGGAAAACTCACTATAAATGGCCATTTTCAATAGCTTTTTGTATGTTTTCCAGGCCGGGTAAAAATCTGATTTTGGATGGTTTTCAACCAAGGTGATGCAGGACTTCGCTGGCCCATCCACAGTATCAATTGCCATTTCCGAGACCTAAATGGGAAGTACGTACACTGTAAGTCAATACAAGTCAAAAATTATTAGAGAAAACACGTGAACATGTATGCAGCTAAAAAGATGGAATATGTTGACTATGTTTGAAACCTATCTAAGTTCGACTTCTTCTCCGCTTTGCGTTGATTTTTGACGTCGTTCAGGTATGAGTTTGAAATGCACAGTGACAGTGCGCACATTTGCTGCAAATGCATCTGTCCCGCCGATGCAACTTGATTGTTACTCTCGGCCACTGGCTTCAAATCTTTTGTTTCAACCAGTGGATGGCTCAACCATCACTGGGCACGACGGACTGACAATGACTGGATAGTTCTCAAGCAACCTCGAAGGACCTGCTTTGATATTGGAAAACCAGCAAAATTAGACAAACAAAACATGGTTTGAACTTCGTATAGTGTAGTAATTTCAGATCATCGTCGTAATCATCCAGACACAGTGTTCTGATTTAGGTATGGGTCAATACCTATAGATACATTTTTAGTGGGATGAACATCCATTTACCAGCTATTTTGGGGTTCACTAGGTACCAGGGTTTTGACCCATCCCCATTTAGCAAAAACTGGGTAACCACAAACCACAAACCACAAATCCTCAAAGATGGAGGATTTATTGATCCCAATGAACTCCATTCGGTCCATGATATTTCACTAAACGGGGAGCGATCTGGAGCTCACAAAAAAGCCATCAAATTGCCATCAAAATCATCAAATTTACTGAGAGATGATAAATATAATATATATATAATATAATATATAATATAGTTAATATTTATCTATTTATTTATTTATCATTATCTATACACAATTGCTTCCTGGCAACATCTCCTGGAAACCCCGATATTTTTTGTTTTTTTCACCATGTTTTCTACAACTCCAGCCTTAGTTGGTCCCTTGTGAGTCGGGAAGTCCATCGATGCCAAGCGCTTGGAAATCAGACTCAGTTGGCAGCCGAGAAAACCCAACCATAGAGGAGCTGAACATAGTTGTACAGGAAAAAACATGTGTTCATGTTCTTACATGTTGAGGAGCTTTTCTGTTACAGATAAAGATAAAGGCTGTATTTGCAAAATATTGAACATGAGGATGTTTGTCGACAAGATTTGGGTTCCATGAAAATGCCGCCTTTAGTCCAAATGTGAGATCCTTCCTCAAGACACCGACCAGTCGTAGTTTGTAAAACAAAGAAGTCTCATTGAGTGGAAGGTTATTGTTTCTACCCAAAATATATATACGGCAACGGAAATCCAACTAGGCATCCGTAGTGGGGATTTGCCATCACCGAATCCAACTCGGTGAGGATCCCTTGAGACATCTCCGGAAAACCCGAGATTTGCTGCGCGGATTTATTGATCGCTGTGTTCAAATGATCTGCAGATGTTGATTGGCCAGTTAACTTGCCAGATCCTGCAGATGTTGATTGTGTTTCTCAGCGATCAGCTTTCGATGTGTTTCAAAAAAATGAAGTTAAGCGTTTTTCTGTATGCCGATTTTGGCGATATCAAAACACGTGGGCATTGCCGCACCTTTGGTACATGGCTACTGGCACTCCGAGTAAAGATTTTGTTCATCTTGGTGAAGCTCATAGGCTTCAGTTCACACCTCAACAGATCTCATGTTTGTTGGAACCAACTAGAAAAGGACTTCTGAATAGGGAAGTTTGTTGCCAATTGCCACCCTTTCAGAAGCTCGGCCTTGACATTTTTAGTGACACTGAAAAAACCCGCACAGGTCACGGAGATTGGAGCTATGGAGCTAGGGATATTTTGCAGCAACATAACTTTTGCTATCAAAACCGCTACAGAACTTGACACCGATGGATGATACGAGTGATATCACTCAAGAGAAGCCAACTTCATCTTGCCCAAGTAGTCCAGGTTGCTAAACGGGCCCGGTTCTTCAATAGCGACAACATAAGGGCGTTCAGTGCAATGGAATACGCAAAAAAATAACACAGGTGTTTATGTACCGACCCACCCCCTCCCCTTTTCACTCCACTCTCCCGCAATGACCGTAATTTCTGCAGTCAAAGGCAGCTCAAGCAGCAACCACTTTATCAATCATCAACAATCATGGATCAAAACCGTGATCAAAACAATCTAAAAGATTGATAATTCATCACAATCATCAAGCACTTCACCAATCATCACAGATCAACAAAACACTGATGAAAACGGTGCCAACTTCCCCACGGCTCGCAGCACTTTTTTCAGCGATGGAGGGTCAAGGTGGACCGGACAGGGGACACTGATGACAAATCACTGAGAGCCACCGGGATCATGTTCATTGAATGAGATGCGAAATCCATGAGGCTGGTGGTTTGTTGCGGTTTATTGTGGTTTATTGTGGTTTAGGGGATGATCACCCCCCAATCTAGTGACTCGCAATGCGAGGGTTGAAAGTTGCAACGACTCACAGTCGGTTTCGATCCATAAAGGTGTCATTGCTCCGCCCCGAAATAGCAAGATCCGCCGATTTCAGCAGAGGCACAAAACTCCTACACTCCACACCACATGTAGAATATTGTATAATTACAATCTTGTTTAGCACTCTTAAACCCAAACTGTAGGAGTCCCTCATTGACTATTGACTATATAGGTTTTGCCATGACCCCAGCAAGATGGCAGCATCCCCACGTGATGTCTGATGTTTCCTCTGAAAATTGTGATAATTTAGTAACATTTGAGTTCATGAGCAACAACTTATATAGTCTTACTACGTGTTCATATGGTTATGGAAGTTATGAGTCAAAGTTTTGGGTTTTCATATGGATATATATATATATATGGATCATATGGTACCCGAAGTTATAGCTGGTGAATGGATGGTGATTTCCCCATCAATGACGAAGGGGTCGAATCGCTGCTGTCCCGAGATGCTTCGGCCTTTTTTAAAGATGGGTTTGTCTGAAGATTATGAGAAACTCCCCCTAAATATCCTAAATCGCATGGAATATCATCTAAGAGAAATATCGATTACACATATTTGTATATATATATATATTCAAGATTATTCAATTCTCATCATTTTCCCCAAAAACACGATACAAACGTAGACATGGCGCAATTTTATGGGACACCCCGACACCCCTTTTTGTTGTAGAAAACCAAATGGCAAAGGTGCCTGAACCAGGTAGCCTCACGTTGAGATCCGAGGATTGGTCAGTGGATTGTAACCCGAAAAGTGTAAGTATCAATGGTACATTAATACAAATCCCAAATGGGGTTACATACCAGTTGTATATATATATATATTCTATATATATATAGTTGTACAAAATTATACAAATAGGAATCCTATTTGTATATATATATATGTATATTCTTAAATCTCTATATATATATATAGGATTACATATGAGTGTAGAAGCAGGTTACCTTATTTGTAACCAGATCATACCAGTTCCCAAGGAGTGAAATTCCCGGGACATTTCCAGGTTAGATTACCG